CTCAGCCACAAAGTGCTAAGGTTTCCTCACCTTCCTCCCCATCTCATTTTCGCCCAGGGACTCTCATTTGCTAAACTCTATCATCCACTCCCTGGCCCTTCCACAAAGATTCAGGCCACCCCAGCTTCCCCCAGGTGGAGAAACTGTGGCTAGGCAATCAGGGAAACTGACATGAACACAGCAGCAGGAGCAATGGCTCTCCTACCTGAGAGCTGAGCACAGGAGAGCTGGTGTCAAACCTTCACCGCTGGTTTCCCCTGCAGCCATGGCCACCCCAGGACTAAAGCCCCTGTTTTCTCATCAGGAGAACTCAGCTTCTTTCTGGAAGTTTGGACTTCATATGAACGTGGCCAGGAGAGGCCCCAAAGGTTAGGCTGGGGAGCTGGCATGCCATAGAACCAGGGAGCCCTGTAGGATCCCTTTTCTTCTTAGATCCTGCAGGAGAGGGTCCCTTCCAATCTTGCCAGCTCCCCTAGAAGTGAAGGCAATGGCAGCGGGGGGAGGGGGACCTTGATGGGAGAGTTCCTTCTGACCAGGCTTCTCCTCCACCAGCCTCCTCCTCCAAGCTCACTGTCCTCCAGGTCCTGCCATTTTGACCTCCCTTCCTGGGGAGAGCAGCCTAAGCCAAGTAGACACTGGGGCCTCAGTGCTAGTTGCTCAGGGCAGTGTGGGTCTGGCGCTCAGGGCAGTGTGGGTGGGACATTTGGAAGCCAGAGGGTGCATTCAACCCTGCTGAGTCTACTTCTGCCTTCAGCGTGTGTCATGTCCTCTTTGTCCCACCCTACAAGGGAATGTCCACCTTGACCCCAATCTACACCCCAAAGGGAACCAGAATTGGCCTGTGTAACCCTCTGCCCCTGCCTGGTTGGCTCTAGTGCACTCACTTCCTTTTTCCTAAAAATGCTAAGTCTGAAAAGAGCCAGGCTGCTTGCAAGTGCCCGAAGCCCTACTTTTACTTATGGGAGTCAGAGAAGGCAAGGGCCCCCAGCCTGCAGTCATACAGAAAGTTACAGGCAGCAAGGCATGGTACCCAGAAGTCTGTTCTTCATTCAGCCCCTGGCGCCATGGACCGTCTTGCACTCTAAGAGGGACTTTCTCAGTTTCTCCTTCACCCGAAGAAGCTGAGGCCCTGCTGGGATAAGGGCAGAGGATTATTTCTTATGACAGGGCTGTTTAGGATTAGGACAGAGAGGGGCCACAAACTCCAACTTCTGAAGTCTCCACCCCCTTTCCCAAATGAGAAAGAATCCACTTAAAATCTTCTGTCCCTATGTGCTGTTAGACTATTGGAAAGTTCTTTCTGAAGTCTGTCCTCTATCCTCTTCTTATAGCACAGATTTTTTTCCCTCCTAATAGATCCTAGGGTGGTATTTGTGAGGGCTTCTCAAGGGACCCTTTCTTTGTAAGATGGCCTAAAAAAGGGACTAACCTGAGAGGAATGGCCCTTTCCTGAGGTCAGGATATTATTGAATGGTTTCCTGGGCATCTTGACTAAGACCCTTGCATATATGTATGTGTTTACGTGCATCCTCATTGGTGAACTACATTTGCTGGGACTGGCTAGCATCCAAGTGCATCTCCCTTACAGATTCACAGTACTTAAGAAAGACAGATTTAGAGAAACTGGCCATAAAGGGGACTAGCTCCAGTAGATCCCCTGAACCCAGTTTGGGAATATCCATGCAGTGGTGCCTGCCTGAGGTTGGGAAAGGGGGTTGAGCAGGCACCCAGGGCCTTGGCTACTCCCTTGTCTCCTCCCACATCTGGAGCCCTTCCACCACACAGGAGGATCCAGGAGCCACCGAAGGTGGGGCATAGTGGGACAGAAGAGGAGGAGGAAGAATATGGGGAGATTCTAGTCCCTCCTACTTAGAGATGCGGTCGCCATGGTGACTAAGGACCAGTGAGGTGGGATGGGGTTGGGGATGGGGGTAGAGGGTGGTGGGAAGGAGGCACTAGGAGACCGGAAAGCTGTCTAGCATTCCAGGAGGATGGAAGCGCAGCGGTATCCCCGAGCTCCAGGTAGGGAGCGGGAGAGCTGACAGACGCGCTGAACAGAGGGGCGGGCCATTGTCTAGCGCTGCCCTGAGGAGGGGCAGACAGAGGGGTCGGGGCCATTGTGTATGATACTCAAAGCTGCCTCCAGCACTAGCCAGACTGGGAGAGGGAACCCAGGAGGCACTGGGTAAGGGGTTAGGCGGGATGGGGCTGGGTGGGTGGCTAGAAGGCTGGAGACTGCAGAGATGGGAAGAGGTGGAGGGGTGCTGGGGACCAAAGAGTCTGGATGAATCTTTAGTGCCTACACACAGTAGGCACTCAACCTATGTAAGCTGATTTGCCTGTCATATGCCGGGTAGGGCCATGGGCAGGGAAGGAGAGCAGGAAACAGATGCTCCCCAGGACTCTGTTCTTCTGAGGTGGGGGCTAACCCTAAGAGTGGGAAGAGGAGGAGGAGGAGGAAGAGGAGGAGGAGGAGGAGGAGGAGGAGGAGGGGGAGGAGGAGGGGGAGGAGGAGGAGGAGGCAGGAGAAACTGGACCTGCCAATGAAGCCAGGAGTGGCTTCTATTCTGGTTTCCTCAGTGAGGCATCTGGGCAAGACAGGGGCTCAAAAGAGGCAGACACTCTGGGGAGGGCAGAGGTTCCCAAGCAGCAAGGGGTAGGGTGGAAATTAATCTTACAACATCCCTCTCACCTCCATCCCTGCATCCTAGCTCTATTGGTGATCAAGTCCCATAGGAGGAGGCCACTGTCCTATGTGGTCCAGCGGTCTGGGGAGTTGGGGCTGGAATCTGACAGGGGGAGTTGGAGCTTAGTGCTGTGAGCCCCAGTGAGCCATAATTCCCAGGATACTGTCCTATGTGGTCCAAGAGCTGGGGGTGGGGTGGAATCTGACAGGAGTTTGAGCTTAGTGATGTGAAGCCCAGGGCACGTGTGTGGTTTTGGGGATTCCCCAGGCTGAGCTCCATGGCTTATGAAGAATTGGTCTTGGAGAACAGGGATGGGATAGTGAAGATGGCACTGCCCCCATAGCCTGCCCTGCTGCCTGACGCCAAGCCTGGTCCAGGTACTTCCTGTCACTGGCCTCAGTTTCCTCATTTGTATAGTGAGAGAAGGTGGGCTTTTGAGCTGTGAGCTTCCTGGATGCTATGGGCAGTACCTGCTACATAATTTATGGGGCCCAGTGTAAAATGAAAATGTGGGCCCCTTCTTAAAACATGATTAAGACTTTTGAAATGGCAACAACAGAGAGTTCCACACAGCATGGGCTCTTATGAGCACAGGGCCTTGTGGGACTGCACAGGTCACAATCTTTGAAGCCAAGTCTGGCCATGCCCTCTGTGTACTGCAGCCCAGGGCTGCGGATCTGACTTCACAGGCCAAGGGTCAAGGACCCTGCTCCTGGGGCTGTGCCTTTCCTCACCTACTTCGTGGCTGAGTATGCCCTGAAGGGCACTGTGAGGAGGCAGGGGGTGGAAGGGACTGGGAAATTCCTGGGCTCAGGTTGATGTCAGGCAACTGGTAGCCTCTCTTTGGGCAGATTTCTGTTCTCTCTTAGGCAAGAATTACCACAGTGTATTTCTCAGCCAGAGGAGAGAGAGCCAGCAGTCCTCTCAGCCCTTCACTTGTTTCTTGTATTCATTGAGCAGTTCTGAGTTGAGCTTTTCTTCTGGGGCTAAAGGTAGGACTGAAAGACCTGGACCCTGGGGAGCAGTGTAGCCTGGGGGTTTGCTTCTAGATGAGTTAAGAGGTTGTTGGGCTGTGGAGCCTCTCTGGCCTCAGTCTCCTTCTCTGTACAAGAGAACTGTGGTAGAACTTGTCTGCTAATGTTGGGAGGATTGAGCTGTATTGCCAAGGGCTCACACACTGGCCACATGGGCTGGAAGAGCACTGGTCCTAGGGAGAGGCCTTGGGGCAGGAATAGGGCAGAGGGTGGCACTGGAACTGCCCCTTCGGCTTCCACTATCACAGTTCCTCCTCCCCATGACCCAGATAAGCCAATCTGTTCCCAGAGAGAGGTGGCTTCCCAAGCTTGACACAGGAGATGGTATTAGAATAGAAAGCTTGGCAGGGATCTGCCGACTAGCACCTGAGTCTGAGGGAATCTTAGCAAGTTTTGACAGAAACAGTTTGTCAGGAAAAGTCCAAGCCCCTGAATGATGAGAGATGATGTGAGCAGAGAGCAAGGTTGAACGCTCTCCCAAGAAATTCTCTTATCCTAAGTGGATAGAAGGACTTCCAGTCAGCGAAGAATGTGCGTTTAGGATGGAGATGGGCTATTTATTGGAGGTGGATCAGTCCTGGGTCATCTGTGCTCTTTAACCTGGAGTCAGCTGACCTGGGTGAGTGGGCAGAAGCCTAACTACTTTATTGGCCAGGGAGCCCCTGATGCCTCATTAACCTTGCGTTATGAGGCCCTCCTTGGAGCCTTTGGGGAGGAAGAAACAGCCACCATTTCGGCTGGGTGCCTTGTCTCAAAAGTATGTCCCATTAAGCATGAGATCAAATGGGAAATTTCTTGAATTTCCCATTGGCTTGATGTCATCCTAAATGAGAGGGAGATTAGACTATGGGAGGAACTTCCTCAGCAAAGTCACAGATACTAGCCTAATACAGCTGTTTGATCTTTTAAGGATTGTGGTCCAGCTGAATGTGGGAGGTTTGAAGGTTAGACTACTGCAGGGAACGTCTCAGTATGAGTGGTGAAGCCCAGTCAGTGAAAAGAGGAATATGAAAGACACTATGTCATGTCCTTTATCTGAGCTATCTTGAGCAAGAAGAGAAACTGAGAAACCACAGCTAGTCTAGTTAGACTGAACTGATGTGCCAGAGGCTGGGGCACAATTCAAGTAGCCCAGGAGGTGTCTTAAACTTTTTGGATAGACTAAGGTAAGCAGAGGGATGGAGAGAGGTGTGTCTCCAGAGAGGCAGTGAGCTTTTTTTTTTTTTTTTCCTCTCTCTCTCTTGATCCACGAACTTCCGCCTAAGCCAGGATCTGTCACAACTCGAGGTAGAAATTCTGGTTTCCCTGGCCTAGAGCCGGCACTGGCTCTGGCAGGATGGGTGCCTGGAGAGCTGTGCTCCCATTCCAGCCAGGCTGAACCTTCTCTTCCCTGTCTCTGGGGCCTGGATCCCCCCTCTCCTTTGACTTGGATGCTTCAGGGTCTGAACACCGGGCTTCCCACTGTGACTGGTTCAAGGGTATGTGAAACGAGGTGGGCGGCTTGTGGTTGGTGGTCATGAGGGGGTGTGATGCAAAGCCCCCAGGGAGGCAGGCAGCAGAAGCATAAAGACAAGGGGGGGGGGCTGCAGAGGCTGGTAGTCTACCAAAAACACCTCTGCCCAGGCCACTCCCAGGAAACACAGACAGCCCTGCTGACCGGTGAACTCAAGCTGGGGGGTGGACTAGCATCCTCCCTCCGGAAGAAGAGGATTAGGTAGGCCCCATCAAATGAGAGTCAGAGCCCCTGGGGGGGTTCCGGGAGAGGGAAGGTTGCCTGCCTGGGTTGGCACAAGGTGTTGGCAGAGCTAAGTGACAGGCCAGCATGGGACTCTATGATTTGAGTACAGGAGCCTGCTGTTCAGAAGCCCCCTCCCCAAGGCCAGACATGCTCAGGGCTCTGGGCTGTGGGGGCAGGAGTGGCTAAGGAGCAAGGGCTGCAAAAGACTTTCCCATGAGTAGGGTGAGAAATGGCAGGGTGGGCTGTTAATAAGAAGAGATCAGGCCTGGCATGGTGGCACATGCCTTTAACTCCAGCACTTGGGAGGAACAGGCAGGTGGATCTCTGTGCCAGGGCAGCTGGGGCTACAGGGAAACCCTGTCTCAAAAAGACCGAAAAAGAAGAGATCAGAGGCGTAGCACTGGTCCACCCAGAGGGTAGAAGGCAACAACATTGTAGCTGGGAGTAGGATGGAAGTGAGATCCCGAGGGCCCTTCCAGATGGGGAACTTCTGCGGCCTCAGGCCCTCTGATTGGCCCTCAGAGAGGATGTGGTAAAGGACTGCTCACCCAGAAAGTGCCCGGGTGCCTATTTCCCCAGAGCCATCTGGTGACACTCTCGGGCTGAGCATGGCCCTTCCGTCCCTGGGCCAGGACCCTTGGAACCTCCTGGATGTTTTTTTCTTCTCACTGCTCCTGCTGCTGTCTCTGCCACCAGCCACTGGGACTGGTGGGCAGGAGCCCATGCCCAGGGTCAAGTATCATGCAGGTGAGTGTCTGGTGGGAGGCAGGGGGTGGCAATGTCTAGATGAAGGGGCTGAGGAAGAAGGGTATGCCAAAGGGAGGGAAAACGGAATGGAGAAACAGAGATTCCAGCAAGCAGTGGGTAGTTGGGACGGGCTTGGAGATGGGAGACCACTTAAGGGACATATCAAGGGAAGGGAAGAGAAGGTCACCTTTCCTAGCTTCCATTTCCATCAACTCATAATTTCATGGCTTCTCTTTCCCTGCTTACCAAGTGGGACACCTTAAACACCTGACTGCTATCATAGCCTCAGGTTCTCCAAAGCCAATGTCAGACCATCTGTGTATCTGGTAATCCCAAGCCCAACTGTAAAGATCATGTTGGACCAGGTTGTGTCCGGCATGATGGGCACCAGGAGGAGCCTGAGGCAGTTCCAGAGAAGCCAGTTCATGTATACCTTATCCTCTAACTCCTCTTGGTTCCTGAGGCTGAAACGGTAACAACCAGGTCGTCCTCTGACTAATGCAAATATACTCACGAGAGACGCTCTGAAGACTCCTTCCTCCTTATTGATGTGCAGTATGGCAGGACACACACTCACACATGCACAGGCATTCACCACCACCACCACCACCACATAGGCCGTAGTAACCCACAAACAGCCTCTCCAGGTGACATCCCAGCATGTTCCCATGGTAGACCTCAGAGAGGGAGAGAAAATTTCCTTTCTAGTGTTTCTACTGGTAGAAATTTCCTGTAACAGAGCAAGGGAAGGAAACAGGAGAGGAAGTGGAGGTGGCCCTTGAACCCACAACTAGATGAGCAAGTCCAAAGGCAGACAGTAGCCACCTCTTCTGCCCTCTGCTGAGAACACCTTTCTGTCTGTCTGCCTGTCTGCTGTTCCCCCTCCTAGCCCTGCCTCACTGTAGCCCCGAGGCCGAAAAAGCATTCACTCACCTCACTTCATTTCCTGTCTCTTCTTTAAAGTTATGGTCTTTTTGAGACAGGGTCTCCCTGTAGCCCCCGCTGTCCTGGAACTCACTATGTAGACCAGGCTGGCCTTGAACTTACAGAAATTCACCTGCCTCTGCCTCCCCAGTGGTGGGATTAAAGGCGTGTGCCACCACCCCAGGTTTCTGTCTGTCTCTTGTGCAGCACCCTTTCTCAGCTCCAGGCTATCAGGGCCCTGTCTCTGGCACTTTTCTCTGTTGGGGGATCAACACACAAAGTTCTGGTGTCTGCTATGGTGGGGAGTGGGTTGCAGATGAAGAGGAAGTCCAGTTTCTAAGGCCTGCCCCTCTCCTCACCTATGTCTTAGGAACCAGCTGCTGCCCACAGCCCCTCCTCACCCTCTCCTTATCACTGCCTCCCAACAGGAGATGGGCACAGGGCCCTCAGCTTCTTCCACCAGAAAGGCCTTCAGGACTTTGACATACTGCTTCTGAGTAGTGATGGCAACACTCTCTATGTGGGAGCTCGAGAGGCCATCCTGGCTTTGAACATCCAGAACCCAGGAACCCCAAGGCTGAGGAGCATGGTGAGGAGAGCAGGGACAAAGGGTAGGGCTGGGAGTGAGGGGCACAGCCCTGGACCAGGGCTGCTATCACATGTACAGCCTGCCTGTTGCTGTCTGAATCAGCAATGACAAAAGGCAAATATTGCTGTGGTCTCACTATTCATTGACATCAGTTGAATATCAGCATTGATACCGGTTGAATATCAGCTGCTGAAATGGCTAACAGGGATATCATCGGCATAGACGATAAACACTGACTCAAATAATTTTTTTTTTTTTTGGTCTTTTTGAGACAGGGTCTCCCTGTAGCCCCGGCTGTCTTGGAACTCACTATGTAAACCAGGCTGGCCTTGAACTCACAGAGATATGCCTGCCTCTGCCTCCCAAGGCGTGCGCCACCATGCCCAGCTGTATGTAATTATTTTAATTTTATGTATATGAGTGCACCACGCAATGCTGTGGAGGTCAGAAGAGGGCATCGGATTCCCTTGAACTGGTTCATAGCCACCATGTGGGTACTGGGAACGAACCTGTGTCCCCTGCAAGATCAGTCAGTGCTTTTTTTTTTTTTTTTTAAGACATGCAGTAATTAAAAAAAAAAATATTTTTATTTTATGTGTACAAGTGTATTGCTTGCATGTATGTGAGTGCACCCGTGTCATGCAATGCCACAGAAGTCAGAAGAGGGCTTTGGATTCCCCTGGAACTGCACTTAAGGACGGTTCGTAGCCACCATATGGGTTCTGGGAATCAAACCCGGGTCCTCTGCAATAGCAGTCAGTGCTCTTAACTGCTGAGCCATCTCTCCAGCTCCGTAATTTTTTTTTTTAATGTTTTATTGTGCTCGCTTTGGCAGCACATATACTAAAATTGGAACGATACAGAGAAAATTAGCTGGCCCCTGTGCAAGGATGACAAATTCGTGAAGCATTAAAAAAAAAATCTTGGGGCTGGAGAGTTTTTTAAAAATATTCTATTTATTATTTTTATTTTATGTGTATGCGTGTATTGCCTGCATGTAGATAAGTGCACCTGTGTTGTGCAATGCCCACAGAGGTCAGAAGAGGCTGTTGGATCCCCCGGAACTGGAGTTACGGACAGTTGTTAGCTGCCATGTGGGTGCTGGGATTCAAACCTGGGTCTTCTGCAAGAACAACCACTGTTCTTAACCGCCATCTCTCCAGCCTGACTCAAATAATTTGATACCCAATGACTAGAGAAATCTCCAGTACTCCTGTTATCATCACCCTGTACTGATGGTAGTAGTGTGAGGGAAGGAAGAGGGAAGGCAGGTGGGGAAATGCTAGCAATGACTGGCCAGTTCCGTGGCTCACTCTCAGCATGTGGTCTCTTAGCTGCCTGCACATATGGGGTGCAGATTAAAATTCCAGATTCTTGAGCTGGGAATGTAATTCAGTAGAAGAGTACTTGTCTAGAGTATATGAAGCCCTGAATTTGATACTCAGCACCCCCAAAATGCAGATTCTTTAAGGTGTGATGCAAGAGCTGATTGTTGACGGTTTCTCCAGGAAATTTGTGGTTTATAATCACTGCTGTGTGTGCCATGCTTTGCTTCGGGCACTCATACATGCCAACTGGCTGCATCCACTAGCAGGCTGTGAAAGTGACCCAGAATGCACAATCAGATAGTGACAGAGCCTAGGATTGTTCTACCATGGAGCCATGTCCTCATGAATCCCAATACTATGGAAGTCATAGCCTAATCAAACTGGCATTATGACTACCCACCAGAGAGTAACCACCAAGCTTACCAGTGATTTCATGCCAGAGCTGGGAAGAGGATGGTGGCTTACAAGAAAACCAAAGACTCCATTCATTTCCTTTCATTTACTCCCTCCCCACTTCAGATACCCTGGCCAGCTAGTGAGAGAAAAAAGAGTGAATGTGCCTTGAAGAAGAAGAGCAATGAGGTAAGTGGAGGTGGGGGCACACAGGCTCTGGCTAGAGAATACTAGGGTATCTGATATGACCTGGGCTGGGCAGGCATAGGAAGGTGGCTGCTCCTATGATCACTGAGATCTTGTTCCATGAGTTTCTCAGTGTTGGCCTCAGCCCTTCCTTCCAATAGGAAAGGAGGGCAAAATGTCTGGGACCCCAAGGGTTTAGGGTAAATGGCCTACATGACCTGAATCCTCTGCATCCCACTAGACACAGTGCTTCAACTTCATTCGTGTCCTGGTCTCCTTCAATGCAACCCATCTCTACGCCTGTGGGACCTTTGCCTTCAGCCCTGCTTGTACCTTCATTGTGAGTTGTCTGACACCCAGCTGGCTCACAGGCTCCAAATCCCTTCTCACACCCACCCAGTCTATCCTCAGTCCTGCCAGAAATCTCTGGTCTTCAGGACCCTTATGAGATTCTTGGTCCCAGGCCAATTTCCCTCTCTTGTCCCTTTCCCTTCCTCCCTCATGACCCTCACTTCCCAGACGTGAGACGCTGGCATTTGGCATTCTGGGCCCCCAGCCTCTCCCCCCATCTAGGAACTCCGAGATTCCTACCTGTTGCCCATCTCAGAGGACAAAGTCATGGATGGGAAGGGCCAAAGCCCCTTTGACCCTGTTCACAAGCACACAGCTGTCTTGGTCGGTGAGTTTCAGGCTTCTTAGATCATCACCAACAGTTGCCTTTTCTAGTCACTCTGTGAAATATGGAATATGATAGAGACAGGGACAGAGGGGAACTGGGAGCCTTGAAGGGCAGGATGGGAGGGAGAATCAGGCATCTCAGCCACTAGCCCCTCCTGAAACGTCCCCAAAGGGGGTGGAAGAGATCTATTTGGGAAGACACAGGCCCCAGCGTCTGGGAAGGCAGCTGGTGAGGTTCAGTCACTTGTTCAGTCACTGTGAACAATGAATACCTCTCCTAACATGCTGGGCACTGGGCTGGGTACTTAAGGGCCTGGACACAAAGCATCACTGACTTCCCAGCCTGGATTCTTGAAGGCTTTTGAGCAGAACTTAAAAGATAATAAATAGGGACACAATGTTGCCAGCACAGCACAGTCACCTGGGATTGGTGTTTGAGGGAGGAGCCTGGCAAAGTGCTCAACTTAGACGCCTACACAGGCCATTTCCTGTGGACAGAGGGATCTAAGTGCCTGGTGTGTGCGTGGGAGGCAGTGAGCTGGGCTTTGGGGTTCTGCAGGACGGTGCAGAAAGGACGGACTGTAGATGGAAGGCAGGTCTGATGAGGGCAGGTAGCCTCCACTTGTTAAGCCTGCTTACCTAACTTCTCCCTGGTCCTAGACGGGATGCTCTATTCTGGCACCATGAACAACTTCCTGGGCAGTGAGCCCATTCTGATGAGAACGCTGGGATCCCGGCCTGTCCTCAAGACTGACATCTTCCTCCGCTGGCTGTACCGTAAGGACCAGTTGACGCCTAGTCATCACGGGTTTGGGTCCCGGACCGTTCCCTGGTAGCCAAGTACTGGCTCTGTGTTAATTGCTTTAATTCACTCAGTTCTCATTGGCTGAGGGCAAAATGAATTAAAGTCAGAATGGGATTCCAGGCCCCCAGAGTCCACCCAAGGGGGATCCGAACATCCTGCTGCTCAGTTCCTAAGCTTATTTGCCTGCCCCCGCAGAGGATGCCTCGTTTGTGGCGGCCATTCCCTCCACCCAGGTCGTCTACTTCTTCTTCGAGGAGACAGCCAGCGAGTTTGACTTCTTTGAGGAGCTGCGCACATCCCGTGTGGCTCGAGTCTGCAAGGTCTGAGGCCTGCACCGGAAGCGGGCTGGCTGTGCGGGGAGCCAATGGGAAGCGGGAGAGGCGGGCGGGCGGGGCCTTACCCGTCAAGGCCGCCCCACAACCCCACCTGCGTCCCTAGAACGACGTGGGCGGTGAAAAGCTGCTGCAGAGGAAGTGGACCACCTTCCTGAAGGCCCAGCTGCTCTGCGCCCAGCCAGGGCAGCTGCCGTTCAACGTCATCCGCCACGCGGTCCTGCTGCCCGCCGATTCACCCTCTATTCCCCGTGTCTACGCAGTCTTCACCTCCCAGTGGTGAGCACCAGGGTGGGAACAGGAAGCTGTACTCGGGATCCGAGGGTGGCAGGAGCTGATGGGAGCCTGGTTTAGTCTCTGCACTTTAAATAGGAAGGCATCTGAGTGGCACTATATCCCAGGAATTTCACTCTGTCTTTGTTGCGTATGGGAGAAACAAAGGTCTGACTATCTTAACTCTGCCTGGTTCCAAAAAAGGATGGATAGAAGTTTACAGAAGGCAGACATTAAAAATCAGTAAAATAGGGACTGGAGAGATAGCTCTCAGTGGTTAAGAGCACTGGCTGCCCTTGCAAAGGACCCGAGTTTGGTTCCCAGCACCCACATGATGTCTAACAAACGTCCATAACTCCGGTTCCAGGGTTCTCCCCACTCATTGCACAGCACAGGTGCACGCACACACATGCAGACGGTACACATACACATAAGATAAAAATAAAAAATAAATATTTTTTAATAACCTTTATGGTGAATAGTCATATGTGAGTAGACAAAAATGAAAATAACAGCAACTTCCACTAGTGAATGAGTTACCATAGACATATAAGTGGTCTGATTTAAACCCCCATCACCACCATGAAGTCTGCATTATTTAACCTTGAGCTGCAGGCACAGCAGCTCCATGACCAGCAGCAGGCTCTTTACACTCAAATATAAGGGTCCACCAGGCCTCTGTCTTTAGGGAGACACAGTGACGGAGGTGAGCAGAACAGAGTCAAGCAGACTAGCATTCAATATTTTTAGCCTAAAGTTAAGTGTCTCTCTAGTTTTCTTTAAAGGCACTTATTTAATGCATTTCATATTGTATAAAAAAAAATTAAATAGTCTGGCTCAGTGGCACACGCCTTTAATCTCAGCATTTGGGAAGCAGAGGCAGGTGGATCTCTGTGAGTTCAAGGCCTGCTGGTCTACATAGCAAGTTCCAGGCCAGCTAGGGCTACCGGGAGACCTTGTTTCAAAAAGAAAATAATAAAATAAAGTTAGACATAGTGGTGAATACCTGTAATCTCAGCACTGGGGAGACTGAGACAAGGAGGATCAGTAATTCAAGGTCAACTGTCTCAAAAACAGACAAGGGTCTGGGATGTAGCTTAATTGGTAGAGTGCTTACCTAGCATGCACAAAGCCTTAGGTTTGATCCCTGCACCATATAAGCCAGGCATAATTGTACATGGAACATGGGAAGATGAGGATCAGAGGATCCTCATCTCTAAGTAGCCTGTGCTACTTGGAGACTATCTCAGAACAAACAAAATCAATAAAATAGATAAAGAAATAGAAGTAAAGGAGATTAACAGAAGGTAGGGATCAGTACAGTAAAAAGTTGTTATAAGATATACTAGTCACAAGGCAGGGCATGGTGGCACACACCTGTAATCCCAGCACTTGGGAGGTGGATCTCTGTGAGTTCGAGGCCAGCCTGGTCTACATAGTAAGCTCCAGGCCAGCTGGGGCTACAGGGAGACTTTGTCTCAAAAAGACAAAAAAAAAAAAAAGATACTAGTCACAAATTTAGCTTCTAGTTTCCTAAAGGCCTGGGCAAAGAGCAGATATCACAACCACTGGAGAAATCCAAGGACCTTTCTCAGAAGAGGAAGTTTGACTGATTTGAAGGGTCTGACAGCCGTGATCTGGCCTCATATTGTTTAAGTTCCTGCCAAGGACAGAGAACAGAGCCTGATATGTTAAACAGTGTACAGAAGAGACCCTCTAGTTCCATAGACCATGGCAGAAGGAACGAACAGCAATAATCTTGTCAAGCTGTGGTTGACTCTCTGAGGACCAAGAATCCAAGGGACTCAAAGAAGACTACATTGTAGAGCCAGCCTGCAGCTGGTTATACAGCTCCTCCTATGGGCATGGCCCAGGCAGGGCAGGACAGGCAGGAGCCACCCTAGGGCCTATGCCCCAATTAATCCTCATTAGTAGCAATCACATTTCAGATCCTAAGATGGGCTTCCAGCCAGGCCTTGGGCCAGAGTCAGGGAACTCTGAATATATGGACTCTCCCAGTCCTTATCACCATAGCTAAGGGAAGAGGCAGCGGGAGGCTGACCTGGTCCATACCCTTTAGGCTTCCTGGGGTTCCACTGAGCTCTACCAGGACTGGAGGTGCTGTCACTGGTAAAGCAAAGGAAACCACAAACTTTGTCCCCTCTGGCTGTCTTCAGGCAGGTGGGTGGGACCAGGAGTTCTGCAGTATGTGCCTTTTCTCTCTCGGACATCGAGCGTGTCTTTAAAGGGAAGTACAAGGAGTTGGACAAGGAAACTTCTCGCTGGACCACTTACAGGGGCCCTGAGACCCATCCGAGGCCAGGCAGCGTGAGTATCGCCCCCACACCAACCAAAGTCATCCAGAATATGCATGTAGAAGCATCATCATGATATGGTAAATGCCTACACACCCAGCCTAGCTGCCCACATGCCGCAGATGTCCAGAACAGAACCCTAATCCAGAACAGTTGCCAGGCAAAGTGAACAGCACCTATCTGGATAGGTCACTGAAGAATTAAGGAAACATGGGCTGGTACCAAGCACTGTATTGAACATCTTCAGGTACATATTTAAAGAGTCAAATAGGTGGGATATGGTGGTGCTTGCCTGTTATCCCAGTATGCAGGAGGAAGCAGAGGCAGGAGGAGGATCAATGCAAATTCAAGGCAAGCCTAGGCAAAACAGCAAGATTCTGTCTCAAAGACACCAAAATAAATAAATAAATAATAAATAAATAAATAAACTGGCATTGTGTTGCAGTCAGAGGCAGGCAGATCTCCGTGAGTTCAAGGTCATCCTGGTCTACAAAGTGAGTTCCAGGCCAGCTGGGGCTACAGGAAGACTCTGTCTCAAAAAAAAGACCCAAAATAAATAAATAAATAATCAAATAAATATGCAGGACTGGCTCTGAAATAACCTGCCTCCCTGCCTCTCTCGTTCAAGACTGACATCAAACTCACCTCCTCCCAGGTGTGCACTATCACCTTCCCCAGCTTTTCTTTCCCATTAACTGCTCTGGCATGTCTCTTTTCAAACTCATCTTCAAGCCGAATATTGGTAAACTTTTTTTTTTTTTCTCGTCTTTTTGAGATAGGGTCTCTCTGTAGCCCCAGCTGGACTGGAACTCGCTATGTAGATCAGGCTGGCCTCGAACTCACAAAGATCTGCCTGCCTCTGTCCCCCAAGTGCTGGGATTAAAGGTGTGCGCCACCACGCCTGGCCCCCAAAGTACTACTTCTAACCCCTATGTGAGTTGGATTTGGAAGCCAGCTGTTTTTGTTGTTGTTCTGAGAGTAAAACCAGACCCTCACATGTGACAGGAAAGGGCGCTTAACACTGAGCTACACCCTTAACCCCTAGTAATTTAAAAAAAAATTATTTATTGCATGTGAGGATACATGTTTGCCATGGCACGTATGGAGGTCAGAGGATAACTTTCGGGAGGTTATTTCCTTCCACTATTGTCAGGTTTGCACAGCAAGCACTTTTACCCACTGAGCCATTTCACCATATCATAGTAATTTTGGCAGGGTTCATGTGTATGACTCATTTACAGCTGAGCCAGGTAGTAAGCCATGAGTACGTTTCCTTTTTATATAACTTGTTTTCCTGGGGTTAGTTATCATGCTCTTTTTGCTTTTTAAACTAAGCTCTTATCTGCACTTCAACCTCAGACTCTTCTTGAATTCACCTAAAATCAGACCATTAGCCCTTTTAAGAGTTTTACTTACCCAGAGAGCCTTGAGATGGGCTGCAGTCTTGACTGCTGGCCTCTTCCTCACCTTTCTGTAGAGTCGCTTGGCTACTTTGTTTCTTGCATCTCTCTCTCTCTCTCTCTCTCTCTCTCTCTCTCTCTCTCTCTCATAGCTTAGGCTGGCCTTGAACTATCAATGTAGTTGAGGACAACCTTGAACTTCTGATCCTCCTGCTTCCATCATGAGTGTTGGGATTATAAGTATGCAGCACCATGCCCAGTATATATAGTGTAGGGTGTTGGACCTAGGGCTTCCTGCATACTGGACAAGCTTTCTACCAACTGAGCTACATCTCCGGCCCCCACCTTTTAACTAGCTCATTTTAGTAGAGGTCATCCTCAATAGATTTTCTGAGGAAAGATATAGACACATAAAATTTTGGAGATGTGCTAGCCATGGTGGCGCACGCCTTTAATCCCAGCACTCGGGAGGCAGGCAGGCAGATCTCTGTGAGTTCAAGGCCAACCTGGTCTACATAGTTCCAGGACAGCTGGGGCTACAAGGACTAAAAAAAAAAAAAAAAAAAGACCAAAAAAAATTTTGGAGATGTTGAATGTCTGAAAAATGCCCTTATTCCACTTTTACAGAAGATGATTTGGCTAGGTAATATGTAATTTTACAACTGAAGCAATTTGAAAGGCTTGCTTGTTACCTTGCAGCTTATGGAGTGGAGCTGCTATGGAGATGTTCTAAGCTGCTTGGACCCCTAACCCTTTGAATGTCACCCCTTTTCTCTTACTGGAATCTTTAAATTCTGATAAAATTTCTTTTTTTTTTTTTTTTTTTTTTTTTTTGTGGTCTTTTTGAGACAGGATCTCCCTGTAGCCCCAGCTGGCCTTGAACTCACAGAGATCCACCTGCCTCTGCCTCCTGAGTGTTGGGATTAAAGGCGAGCACCACCACATCCAGCCAATAAAATTTCTTTGGAGGGGAACAAGTGCCACAGTGTGTGTGTGTGTGTGTGTGTGTGTGTGTGTGTGTGTGTGTGTACAGCTTTCAGGAATTAGTTCTCTCCTTCCACTATGGAGAGAATTCAGTTGTCAGTCTTGGCAGCAAGTTCTTTTACTGGCTGGATGTGGCACTATTCTAGGTACTAGGGGTATATAGCAGTGAGCAAAACCCAATAAGGTCCTTCCATCCTGTAACTTACTTTTTTTGCACTTGCTTTTTATGGGCGTGCTGGGGACCCAAACTCAGATCCTTATGTTTGTGTAGCAAGCATTCTCTCTATTGAGCCATCTCCTTAGCCCCCAATTTTTTATTTTTATTTTTTGGTCTTTTTGAGACAGGGTCTCCCTGTAACCCCAGCTGGCCTGGAACTTGCTTATGTAGACCAGGCTGGCCTTGAAAGCCTGCCTCTGCTTCCGGAGTGCTGGAACTAAAGACGTGTGCCACCATGCCCATCTGCAGCCAGTACTCTTTTTTTTTTTTTTTTTTTTATTAATCTTTTTGAAGCAGGGTCTCCCTGTAGCCCCAGCTGTCCTGGAACTCACTCACTGTGTAGACCAGGCTGGCCTTGAACTCACAGAGATCTACCTGCCTCTGCCTCCCAAGTGCTGGGACTACAGGTGTGTGCCACCACACCTGGCTTGTAGCCAGTACTCTTAACTGCTGAGTCATCACTCCAGCCCCCTTGTTTTGCTTCTTGAGACAGGGTGTCCCTTTAGCCCCAGCTGGCTTGGAACTTACTCTGTCTACCAGTCTGGTCTCAAACTCAAAGAGATCTGCCAGCCTGTGACTCCCCAGTGCTGGAACTAAAGGTGTGTGCCACCACACCCAGCTCTGCCTGCCTTTTTTAAAAAAGATTTATTTTATTTTTAGTTTGTGTGTGTGTGTGTGTGTGTGTGTGTGTGTGTGTGTGTGTGTGTGCGCGCGCCTGTGTGCCTGTGTGTGTGCGCGCCTGTGTGCCTGTGTATGGGTATGTGTGGGTGCCTGAGGAGGTCAGAAGAGGATTTTGGATCCTCTGGAAGTAGAGTTACAAGTGGTTGTGAGATAGGTGCTGGGAATTGAGCTCTTCCTCTGGAAGAGCAGTACACATTCTTGCTGAGCCATTTCTCCAGTCCCTCTGCCTGCCTTTTAAACATATTTTCATGTACTCTTCCTGATTTTGCCACACTTCCCTGGATGGATGGGACCAGAGTTTACACACTGAGGCTGGGCATCTGCATTGTAGTCGGTTTCTTTGGGCTTTGTCTAGGGCTGGCTTAAAACTGTTCTACTTTCCTGCTGTTTTGTAGTCCTAGTTTATTTACTTCCCGTCTTTGAAAATGTGGATTCTTTGCCTTTTTTCCTGTTCTCCATATTGATTTAGGCTTCTAAGTTAAAAAAAAAAAATCTCTTTGAGGGACTGGAGAGATGGCTCAGCAGTTTAAGAGCACTGGCTGCTCTTGCAGAGGACCCAGGTTTGATTCCCAGTACCCACATGGCGGCTAACAAACGTTTGAAGCTCCAGTTCCAGGGGATCTGATGCCCTCTTTCAACCTTCTTGGGCATTGCATGACATGGGTGCACTTACATAGATGCAGGCAGTACACTCATACACATAAAATAATAAATAAAATATTAAAAAAAAATCTCTTTGAGCTGGGCCTGGTGGCACACACCTTTAATCCACATAGTGGGGGCAGAGCAGATGAATCTCTTCGAGATTAAGGCCAGCCTGGTCTACGTAGGGAGTTCCAGGCCAGTTGATGCTAAAGGGGGGAAGACCTTGTTTCAAAAAAAACAAAACAAAACAAAAACCAAACAGAAATCCCTTTGGGAGGAAGTGAAAGTTAAGTGTATATGTTCTTTGCTGGCATAAAAATGGAAAATAGAAGCTGAGTGTGGTGAGACTTTAATCCCAGTGCTTGGGAAGCAGAGGCAAGAGGATTCTGTGAATTGGAGGCCAGCCTGGTCTACATGGCGAGTTCCAGGAGTTCCAGGCCAGTTGGGGCTACAGGGAGGCCCTATTTCAAAACAACCGAGAGAGAGAGAGAGAGAGAGAGAGAGAGAGAGAGAGAGAGAGAGGTTATTACCTCGTTTATATATGAGGAAGTTGAGAACTCAGAGGTGAAGTAGTTTGTGCAGGACACAGCTTGAGGGTGGCAGAGTGGGGACTGGCTTCAGGATGATGTTGGATAGGGAAGACAAGGATCTTTACCTGAACCTCCAGAGAACAGCTGGTCCAACCCCCTCAAGTGAGAAAGAGAACCGAGAAGGGATTCTCCCAGCCATGCAGCTCATGCAAGTTTATGCAAATGTGATGAAGGAGCTCCGTGCCACACCACCCCTTCCCGCAACACCTCCATTCAGTCACTGACTCAGGAGACATTTACAGAGCGCTGACTGTGCCTGGGATCACAGGCACCAGGAAAGTAGGGTGCTTGCCTGAGGAGTCTTCAGCCTGCCTCCTGCTTGGCCCTGATGGGGCTGAGGGGGAGGGCAGTGGTAACAGTAAGCACTGAAGATGTGCTGTGCTGGTTACCTTTCATGTATTAGGACCTTATCCTCAGTTCTAGCCTCTGGGCCCTGGGTCTGGGATTTATTCACTACTTTGAGCTGAGACTACCCTAGGGAGGAGGGAAAAGGAGGGTAGCAGGGGAAAGGTGGCAAAGCTTGAGCTAAAGGGAAGGCGCCAGCTGACCTGACTTGCTTTCTTCCTCCTCCAGTGCTCTGTGGGCCCCTCTTCTGATAAAGCCTTGACCTTCATGAAGGACCATTTCCTGATGGATGAGCAAGTGGTGGGAACACCCCTGCTGGTGAAGTCTGCTGTGGAATACACACGACTTGCAGTAGAAGCAGCCCAGGGCCTCGATGGGAATAGCCATGTGGTCATGTACCTAGGCACCTGTGAGTACAGGGTTCCAGGATAGACCTGGGAGGACCAGAGCAGGGACTGTACCCAGGCTGAGTCTGCAAGACAGCCCAATCTCTAGCCTTTCTGAGTTTTTAGTTTGTTGGTTCACACACACACACACACACACACACACACACACACACACACACGGTCTTCTGTGGTCTTAGTAAGAGCAGTCTGTCAACCGGGGGGGAAGCCATGTCAGAGGCTGGAGGAGTGAGTGCATAGGCAGTACCTCTCTAGGAAACAAGGCTGGGAAGGAGCCAAGGGGAAGGGGAGACCACAGGAGGGGCAGGAGGTAGGCAGTAGCATCTGCTGCTACTTCTCCTCCTCCTCCTCTTCTAGACAGCTAAGGATGATCGTGAACTTAAAGAATTTTTTGGATTGGTTTATTTTTATTTTATGTATATGTATATTTTGCCTGTAATGTGTAAGTACACCTGTGCATGTAGTGCCCATGGAGGCCAGAAGAGGGTGTCAGATCCCCTGCAACTAGAGTTACAGACAGCTGTTAGCTGCCATGTAGTGCTGGGAACCAAACCTGGGTTCTTTTTTTTTTTTTTGAGACAGGGTCTCCCTGTACTCCCAGCTGACTTGAACTCACTATGTAGACCAGGCTGGCTTTGAACTCACAACGATCCGCCTGGGTCCTTTTCAAGAGCAGCCAGTGTTCTTAACTGCTGAGCCATCTCTCCAGTGACCCTGAACTTCTGATCTTCCTGCCTCAAACTCTCAAGTGTTGGGAACACAGGGCTGCTCCACTATGCCTGGTTTTATGTGGTATTGGGGATGAACCCAGGGCTTTATGCATTCTAGGCAAACATTCAAGCAACTGGCCTATATCCCCAGCTCCATCTTTTTTTTTGGGGGGGGGTGTCTTTTTGAGACTGGGTCTCCCTGTAGCGCCTGTAGCCCCAGCTGGCCTGGAACTTGCTTTGTAGATCAGGCTGGCCTTGAACTCATAGAGATCTGTCGGCCTGCCTCTGCCTCTGAGTGTTGGGATTAAAGGCGTTTGCCACCACGCCTGGCTTTCATCTTTTTTGTATGCTATAAAAGACTGAAAGTATCCAGTAGAGAAGGTATTGGTGAAGCTGGGAGGAGAGGGGACACTCAGCAGTAAAGTTGTGGAGGGAGCAAGAGGCTGGCCTGATGCTATAGAGAGGGGCCAAGAGTGGGGGACGGGATTCAAGGACAGAGGAGTGGATCCTAATAGTCAACATGGAGAGTTAGGTGAGGAATGTGGAAAGATTACCAGATCTATTGAGAGCTTGGCCTTTTACTTTGAGAAAGTCAACAACTTCATTCATTCCTCCAGGTCATGCTCGGAGGCATTGTATCTGCTGTGCCTTGCTGAGCCTATGGGCAAAACTTCCCATCCTTGTGAAGTGAGTAGAGATAGACTGTAAACACTCTGAATGCAGACATTGCATAGTGCATTAGTTACCAGATTAGAAAATCAGGTAGAGTGAAGTGAAGGGAATCTTGCCCAGGGAAAGTTTGCCTTTTTTAGTGACAGGGTCTCTCTGTTGCCTAAGATAGATGCTTTGATAGTTTTGAGATGAGGTCTTATTCTATAGTCCAGGCTGCCCTGGAACTCACAATCCTGCCTCAGCTTTCTGAATGCTGGGAACTTACAACTATTAAAAAGGTGGTCAGCGGGGCATGGTGGTGCATGCCTGTAGTCCCAGCACTTGGGAGACAGAGGCAGGCGGATCTCTGTGTGTTCAAGGCCAGCCTGGTCTACATAGTGAGTTCTAGGACAGCTGGGGCTACAGGGAGACCCTGTCTCAAAAAAGACCAACCCCCCCCTCCCCACCCAACAAAAAGGTGCTCAGAAGCAGGACCTGTGGTGCAGGCTTGTAATCTCAGCTATTTGGGAGGATGATACACAAGGATTACATGTTCAAGGCCTGCATGGACTACAAAGTGAGTTCAAGACCAGCCTGGGCTGTAGAGTGAGACCATGTCTCAAAAAGCAAAAAGAGGACTGGGAATGTAGCTCAATGGTAGAGTGCTTGCCTAGCTTGTGAGAGACCCTGGGTTTAATTCCCAATACTGGAAAAAAGAAAAACAAAGAAAGAGGCAAAGACATAGATATGGAAGGAAGGAAAGGGGACAGAGGGAGGGAAGAAGGGAAGGAAGGAAGGAAGGAAGGAAGGAAGGAAGGGGGGAAGGAAGAACAGGCTGGAGGGATGGCGCAGCTGTAAGGTGCCTCCTACACAAGCGTGACAACCTGAGTTCAGATGTCCAGAATCTGATGTAAAATCTGGGTGCTGCTTTGGGGTCTATAACCCCAGCACTCAGGAGGGAGAATGGGGCAGACGGGGGATCCCTGGAGCTCACTGACCTGCCAGTCTGGCCAATCCGTGACTTCCAGGGTTAGTGAGAGACCTTGTCTCAAAAAATACAGTGGAGAGTGGAAAACACTGGACTGTGGCCTCTGTCCTCCACATGCACACATGACATGTACATACATCACACTCAAGAAAGCAAGAAAAAGAGAAAAAGAAAGAAAGCCAGTTTCAACAGCCTTGCATCTGGGGCTGGAAAGATGGCTCAGCAGTTAAGAACACTGACTGCTCTTGCAGAGGACCTGTGTTTGGTTCCCAGCACTCAAATGACAGCTAACAGCCATCTGTAACTTGGGTCCCAGGGGGACGGGTCTGATGCTCTCTTCTGGCCTCTGTGGGTATTGCACACATGTGGTGCACTTACATGGCAGGCAAACACTCATACACATAAAATAAACACTCATACACATAAACACTCATACACATAAAATAAAAATAAATCCAGAAACTGCTTTAAAAAACCTACATCCCTGGGACACAGAGAGACTGAGTGACCCAGATGTTCCAAACCTGGCATGCTTAGGAGGCTTGTGAAGGCAGTGGGGGAAACCCCACCTCTCTCTGTCTCTGCAGCCACAGGGTCCCTGCACAAGGCTGTGGTGGCTGAGAACCGCAGTGCTTATCTGGTGGAGGAGATCCAGTTGAGCCTTGACCCTGAACCTGTTCGAAACCTGCAGCTGGCCCCCACGCAGGTGGGAAGAGACCCGATCAGAAAATGGCTTTCCCATGGGGTAACCTGGGGAGCCTGGGCCAGAGTACTGGGGCCTTCTGACACAGAATTTACTGGAGAGGCACAGTCACCTCATCAGCAGGTGATTCAGCAGGTGACTCTCTCTCTCTCTCTCTCTCTCTCTCTCTCTCTCTCTCTCTCTCAGGGTGCAGTGTTTGTAGGCTTCTCTGGAGGCATCTGGAAGGTTCCCCAAGCCAACTGCAGTGTCTATGTGAGCTGTGTGGACTGTGTCCTTGCCAGGGACCCCCACTGTGCCTGGGACCCTGAGTCAAGAATCTGCCGCCTTCTCTCAGGCCTGACCCAGTGAGTGCCAGTCCTAGATGGCGGCTGAAAACTGCTTGCCAAGGCCCTTCTTACCCAGCTTCTGTAACCATTCCTCCCCTCCAGGGGCCATCATCACATTCACCCCAGACGCCACCCCTCTGGGGCCAGTCCTGGGATGGCCTTTTGCAGGGCAGTTTTAAAGCTGTTCTGCCTGGGACTGGGCCCCTCTCCTCTCCTACCTAGTCTCCCCAACCCACATTCTTCCCCTCTATACTTTCCTCCCTCCTCCTCCTTCATTTTTGTCTGTATTAAGCAGTGCTTTTGTTTGCATTGTCTTCTCAGGAGCTCCTGGAAGCAGGATATGGAGCGAGGGAACCCAGAGTGGGCATGTGCCCATGGCCCCATGGCCAGGAGCCCCCGGCGGCAGAGTCCCCCTCAACTCAGTGAGTGTGGGGCTGAGGGAGGCACCAAGGTACTGGGGGCCTTCAGGCAGGGCTGGCATTCCTGCTCCTGTGGCCTCTTGCAGCACTTGCAAAGGCTGAGACCTGAACACTGGGATCAGGATGGATTGGTGCCTGGCTGTGAGGAGAGAGAAGAGTTCTGAGCTGGGGTTCAGGTTAGGGTGGAAGTGGGTTTGGTGTTTGAGTCTGAGTTGGAGGCTTTCTAACTGTACCACCTTGAATGGGCCCGATCTGACAGATCTTAGAAGCTAAGGGTCAGGCCTGGGTAGTCCTTAGGGGTTGAGCCTGAGGACAGAGGAGGGGTGAGCACTACTTTGGAGTTGAAATGGAAGCAGTAACAGGCAGGTATGGTAGGCCAGCCTGGGATGCAGAGGAGAAAGGAAGCCGTAGATAAACATTTTGAGACCAGATATCAATAAGACTCTCTCCTGTCTTCCTTCTTTTCTTCTGTTGACCAGTTTGCCCCTTTGCTTATCCCCCAGTTAAAGAAGTCCAGGCAGTCCCCAACTCCATCCTGGAGCTGCCCTGCCCCCGCCTGTCCACACTGGCCTCCTACCACTGGAGTCATGGCAAAACCATAGTCCCAGATGCCTCTTCTACCATCTATAATGGCTCACTCATGCTGCTGCCAAGGGATGGAGTTGGGGGCCTCTACCAGTGTGTGGCCACTGAGAATGGCTATTCATACCCTGTGGTCTCCTACTGGGTGGACAGCCAGGACCAGCCCCTGGCTCTGGATCCTGAACTGGCAGGCGTTCCTCGGGAGCGTGTGCAGGTCCCACTGACCAGGGTTGGTGGTGGAGCCTCCACGGCTGCTCAGCGGTCCTACTGGCCTCATTTTCTCATCGTCACTGTCCTTCTGGCCTTAGTGCTCTCGGGAGCACTCATCTTCCTCCTGACTTCTCCTCTGGGAGCACTGCGGGCTCGGGGCAAGGTTCAGGGCTGTGGGGCCCTGCCCCCCAGGGAGAAGGCCCCATTGAGCAGGGAGCAGCATCTCCAGCCCCGCAAGGACCACAGGACCTCTGCCGGTGATGTGGATGCTGATAACAACCATCTGGGCACTGAGGTGGCTTAAACTCTGGGCACAGTTGGGGCTGTTGAGTAGGTACCTGGCCATGTTGGCTGGGCCAGGCACGATGGTACTGTGATAGGGTGGGAGACACACAGGCCACCGTCCGGGGCAGGAGGTGTTCCTGCCACTGTGTACCACCTGCAGCATCCAGTTGGGCCACATACAGCAACCTGCCGCTTCTGTGGGACTCCCTTCTGCTAAGTTCATGGGCTGTCCCCACACCTGCAGCTGTGCAGTGACAGGAGGGCCTGGAAAGGTTCCCTCAGTTCTTGTCAACCGTAAGGACCCTCCAAAGCACATTGCTCCAGGAGACCCTGGCTATCCAGGACCCTGTGGTGACAAACCCAGCATCTGAGCAAGCTAAGTTCCTGAAACTCCATTCTGGAAGCAGTTGCTATTTTGAACACCAGCTCTCCTTTCTCCCAGGGGTCTCCAAGATTCGTTGGGGAGCTGGCCCCTTGTGCTCCCCTTACCAACCATGTACCACTGACTCTGGGAAGTCTTTTCTGAAATTTGACCGCCTTTGTTTTTGCTTCTGTTTGGACAGAGTCTTTGCCCTGAATGGCAGGCGGTAATCTGAGCCTTGTTGACTCCTTTAGTGTGGCTGGCCCCTTGAAGTCTTCTTACCCCTTCCCTCTGTTTTGGGATTCAGAAAACTTAATTTTATTTTTTATTAAAAAGACAAAGCTTATGATGTGCTAATTTTTGGCATGGCAGAGTTCCCGTAGAGGACAGCCAGGGTCTGGGACGGAGTAAGGTTTATGGGATGGTGCCTTTGAATGGCAGGCAGCCTTCTCTGTGCTCCAGGCAGGGTGAGAGCTGTGTGGAACAGCCTCAGCTGTGTCTGCTAGACATGCTGGCTGTGGCTGCCACACTTGCTGTCCCCATACGCCAACGCTTATCGTGACTCCAGGTAGCTCCGCCCCCAGTAGTTGGCTTCAGTTCTCCATAGACAAGTTTATGGAAGTGTTCACAGCCACCCCCATCCTGGCCTCATCCCTCTTCACATTTGCTAAGAAAGGTTCTGTCCATGCTTCCACACCATACAGCCTTTCCTCCCTCATGTCAGGAAAATACATATCTCCCTGCAGAACGGAAGGCCATCCCAGAGGCATCCATCCCACAGACCCCCTATTCCTACTGTGACTCCCAGCATTGCCCCACCCCCTACTTAACTGGCTCCCTTATCCTGCCTACAGGTGTGTAGGCAAGTGGATCATCTCTATGAGACTGAGGCCAGCCTGGTCTACATAGTGAGTTCCAGGCTAGTTGGGGCTACAGGGATACCGAAGCTGCGTAGTAAGACTGAGGCTAGTCTACAAGACTTGTCTTAAAACATCAAAACCAAAAAACACTCCCTATGACTTTAGCCATTCAGTCCACAGCAACCCCCTTTCAGTTTCCTTTCCTGATAAAGCTGAACACCAGTGAAATTTCACTGTAGTCTTCCCCAAGGTACCCCTGTGCTTGTTCTCTTTAACCCGTATGGTCATGTCCTTTCCCCACCTGCCTGCTCATGACCCTCTCCGAGATCCTTCATTAAGCCCTTAAAAGCAGCTCAATTTTGACCTCTGCACAGCCACCCAGGAAGCCACCCTTTTCGCATCAATATCCACAACAGGATTTTTAAAAAGTTCTGTGGGGCAGCGGAGGGCTGGAGAGATAACTTAGTGGTTAAAAGCACCCAGGTTTGGTTCCCAGCACCCACATGGTGGCCAACAACCTGTGAGCTGCTGGAGCTTCACCTGCCTGCCTTGCATCTCACAGTAGGAACACTGAGATTACAGGGGTATGCTATTGTACCTGACTTTACATGGATTCTAGGGATTCAAGTGTTTTTACCCACTGAGCCATCTCTCATGTCCTTTACCATGGATGTCCATGCTTCACTCAGTGGACATATACTCAGCCCTTTTACGGCACAGAGCCCAGCCTAGACCGCTGCAGAACCCCACCCAGGCCTGCTTCCTGCCTGTTTGCAACTGCAGCCCAGCAGTAGGGACAGATGGCAACAGCTGAAGCCAGGGTGGGGTACAGAGTGGGGACAGGTATTGGGAAGTCAACGTAGTGCAAGCTCAGGCTTCCTGCCTCCCTTCTGTTTACTGGTTACTTGCACCTGCACACCTCAGACATCTTTAATGCAGTATGCCCCCAAGCCGGGCTCATCATCATTTCCAAAGCTGTTTTCTGTCCCATCTTGCCTAAGCTAGTATTCTATGTGTCCCTTCTCCTCCAGAGGGCACCAAATACCACTCCTCACGTCTGTCTTTACCTGGAATTCCTCCATACCTCTCCAGCCTACTGACCCCACCCCACCCCATCATGACAACTAGAGCTGGAACTGGCTCCTGCCACTCATCCTTCCCTCTCCACTCAAGGCTCAAGGTCAAGAAGAGCTTTTTCTTAGCCGGCCGTGGTGGCGCACGCCTTTAATCCCAGCACTCGGGAGGCAGAGGCAGGTGGATCTCTTGTGAGCTCAAGGCCAGCCTGGTGTACATAGTGAGTTCCAGGCCAGCTGGGGCTACAGGGAGACTCTGTCTCAAAAATAGACCCCCAAAAGAGGAGCTTTTTCTTAAGATAGTATCTATAAGATACTGTAGCCCAGGCTAGCCTGAAACTCACTTTGTAGTCCAAGCTGGCCTCAAAGCCATGGAAATCCACTTGCTTCAGCCTCCCAAGTGCTCCCTCTCTTCTGAGGTACTAAGGACTAAACTTAGGGCCTCATGCATACTACACAAAGGCTCTAACACTGAACTACATCCCCAGTCATCTTTTATACTTTTTAAGACAGGATCTCACTAAATTGTTAAATCTATCATTGAACTCACTCTGTAGCCCAGGTAGGCCTTGGACTTATGATCCTCCTGCCTCAGCCTCTAGAGTAGCTGGGATTATAGTCCTGTACACACCTGGTATATTAGTTACTTTCCTATTGCTGTGATAAAACACCATGACCAAGGCAACTTATAGAAGGAAGAATTTGGGCTTACCGTTCCAGAGAGAGTCCATAATGGAAGGGGAGGCATGGCAGGAGGTAGAAACCTGAACACTCACATCTTCAGTCAGGCACAGGAAGCAGAGTAAGTTGGAAGTTGGGGCAGCACTGTGAACTCTCAAAGCCCACCCCCAGGAAGATGCTTCTTCCAGCAAGGCCACACCTCCTAAACCTCTGCAAACAGTGCCACCAAACTGGGGCCAAGGGTTCAAATACATGAGCCAGCCTGGCATGGTGGCACACACCTTTAATCCTAGCATTCAGGTGGCAGAGGCACATATATACATGAAGGCAAACACACATGCACATAAAATAATCTATAATTATATTTTTGAATCGGAGTTTCCCTGTAGCCCCAGCTGGCCTGGAATTTGCTACATAGGTCAGGCTGGCCTCCATCTCACAGAGATCCACCTGCCTCTGCCTCCTGGGAGCTGGAATTAAAGGTATGCACCACCACACCTGGCTAAAAACAAATCTTTTTAAAAAACTATTACAGCTGGGCGTGGTGGAGCATGTCTTTAATCCCAGCAGTGGGGAGGCAGGCGGATCTCTGTGAGTTCGAGGCCAGCCTGGTCTTACATAGGGCATTCCAGGCCAACTGGGGCTACAGGGAGACCCTGTCTCAAAAACACCAAATAAATAAATAAATAAACAATCTATTATAAGGGCTAGAGAGATGGCACAGCAATTAAGAGCACTGGCTGCTCTTCCAGAGGACCAGATGGTCTGCTGCCCTCTTCTGGCTGCCGGAGGCATTGCATGAATGTGGTGCACTTACCATATGCGTAGACAAATACTCATATACATACATTAAAAATAATAAATAAGCCGGGCGTGGTGGCGCACACCTTTAATCCCAACACTTGGGAGGCAGAGGCAGGCAGATCTCTGTGAGTTCGAGGCCAGTCTGGTCTACATAGTGAGTTCCAGGACAGCTGGGGCTACAGGGAGACCCTGTCTCAAAAAGATAAAAAAATAAAAGACGAAACAAAAAAAATAAAATCTATATATAGATAAAACCTGATTCAGAGCTAAAGTCAGATCCCAATTTCTGCAATTCTTTTGAGTTTCCAAGCCTCAGAATTGGTTCCCTTATCTCAGTCCTTCACTTTAACCTCTGCTATTGGCTTCATAAATGAAAGAAGCTACAGAAAAATTAAGTTAGATTTTTTTTCTTGTATTGGAAATAGGACCTTAAAAATTAGATTTGAGAGCCGGGCGTGGTGGTGCACGCCTTTAATCCCAGCACTCGGGAGGTAGAGGCAGGTGGATCTCCCTGAGTTCAAGGGCAGCCTGATCTACATAGCGAGCTCCAGGCCAGCTGTGGCTACAGGGAGACCCTAAAAAAAAAAAACAGAAAAGAAAAGAAAAAAAAGGCCGGGCCTGGTGACGCACGCCTTTAATCCCAGCACTCGGGAGGCAGAGGCAGGCGGATCTCTATGAGATCAAGGCCAGCCTGGTCTACATGGTGAGTTCCAGGACAGCTGGGGCTACAGGGAAACCCTGTCTCAAAAAGACAAAAAAAAAAAAAAAAAATCTTAAAGAGAAAAGAAAGGGAGGGCAGAGAAAGGAGGTAGGAAGAGGGGAGGGGCGAAAACAAGCAGTGCCACGTGACTCGTGTTTATAGAAGGCGTGGCTACTGCCCTAATGTAAGATGGCCGAAGGACCACCTCTTAGGGGGTGGTTTAAAGGCTCGGAACGCCATTGGTGGAATTACTACGCCTCATCCACACACCCCTCAGGGGGCGGGACTGTCCCAGTTTCCGGTTCCGGTAGTACCGGGATCCCTGTCGAGATGGAGGAAGATGCGACCCGACTTTGGCTGTCGCTGGAAATGGAGGGTCGAGTGGGGGCTGCGGCCTAGAAGTCCGGGGTTGGAGTTGTCCTCAGACTCGGCTGAACTGGCGGAGTCTGAGAAGGTAAGAACCGACGGTGCTAGGGTGCCTTGAGGGATCAGGGGACCGTAGGACCGAGGCTTGTCAAGGAGGCGGCGAATGTCTGCGCGCGGCGCCGCATTGCCATGGGAGGCAAACCTGCACTTTTGGGAGCGAAGGGCAAGTCCAGCGAGGCGTCACTTACTGGCAGAGGAGCGTGAGTGACTGACAACCAAAGAAGCATGGCGAGGGGTATGCCCGAGGACCGTGAACTGGCTGTACGGGAACCGGACCGAAGGTGCATAAAGGAGGGTGTCATGTGGACTATGTGGAGATGATTGCTATGTAGTATCTGTCATAAGGGGTCACGTGGAAGCCTATAGAAGATCCAGGAAGACTGGGTGTGACCCTCACGGTGGTCGAGGGGGGAGACTATCTTAAAGTGGGAGGAGACATTGCCAGGACCTAGCACGGGGAAACATACTCATTCAGCAGAACAAATGGACCAGCATATAAGTATATTCCCGGTCTTGTGGTAGACAACTTCCAGGATGCAGGACCTTAATGCTGATGCAGTTGAGAGAACAAAAAGAAAAGAGGATGCAGGTCTGTACTCCCTTCTGAGAATTACAGCCCCTGGATGGCTTGTCTTGTGTTGAATAAGGTGATTTATAATTTGGTGGGAGTGGTTGAAAAGATGTGAATGGACCAAATGATCATCATTGTGCCCAGGTCCAGTGACAAGTCAAGATGGAGTCGGAGGCTCCTCATCTGGTCACAATGGTCCTGGACTCCTAGAATAGTTATAATTCTTTTGAGGGGGATCTTTTTGAGACAAGGTCTCCCTGTAGCTCCAGCTGCCCTGGAGCTAACTATGTAGACCAGGCTGGCCTTATCTCAGAGATCCGCCTGCATCTGCCTCCTGAGTGCTGAGATTAAAGGTGTGCGCCACCATACCCAGCCCAGTAATTCTTATAATACTGACAGTCCCTAATATTTAAAGCAACACTTTCCAAACTTTAAAAAATATTTTATTGGCCGGGTGTGGTGGTGCTCACCTTTAATCCCCCCAAAATTTTATTATTTTAAATTTTTAATGTGTATGAGTGTCTTGCCTGCATGTATTAAAGTGCACTTGCAGTGCCCAAGGAGGTGAGAAGAGGCTCATGATCCTCTGGAACTGGAGTTACAGATAGTTGTTAACTGCCATGTGGGTGCTGGGAACTGAACCCAGGTCCTCTACAAGAGCAGCCAGTACTCTTAGCCACTGAGCTGTTTCTCCAGCCCCAACACTTCCCAAACTTTGGTAATGCATAGAAATCAGGTTTAAGGTATAACCTGAAATTCTTTTTTTCTTTTTTTAGACAAGGTCTTGCTATGTAGTCCAAGCTGGCCTGGAATTCACTTTGTAGCTCAGGCTGGCCTTGAATCCTATTTCTCTTGCCTCGGCTTCCTAGTGCTGGGATAGCCAGTATGTGCTACCACACCTGGCTCTGCTCTTCTATAACCCTCCAAAGTGATGCCATGCTGCTCTGTGGACTACTGTGAATCACAAGAACTTACAGCATTACTGTTCAATAGAACTTTCTACAGTACGAGAAATACAAATGCTTCCACGATGATTAGCTTCTAGGGTTGAAGCTAGCATGCACAAAGACCTTGGGTTTGATCCCAGCTCTGACTACATTGTGCATGTTGGTGCACACTTGTAATCCTAGCATTCAGGAGGTGGTGGAGGCAGGAGGATTAGGAGTTCAAGGACAGCCTGAACTACATGTGATCCTGTCTCAAAAATAAAAAAGAAACTAGTGAATAGTCCAAGTTACAGTTTTTGTTTGTGCAAGGAGAGATTCTTGAGCTAGTTTGTCTTTTTTTTTTTTTCCAATTTCATTTGACAACTTTAAGCACAAAATCTTCCCTAATCTTGGTCTGTTGGGATAGTATAGAAAGCATTTAACCATTCATGAGCAGAATCTCTTGCCCTGACTGGCCTTGAACTTGCTATCTAGTCAAGATCCTCTTTCACCTCCCAAGTGCTGGGATTGTAGGTGTGAGCTACTCTCACCTGGTTTTTATGCAGTGCTGCAGATTGAATTTAGGGTCAAGAGCATGCTAGTAAGTACTCCTACCAACTGAGCTACATCCCAGCCCCATTAGCGGCTGTAAAGGCATTAGAAAATCCAGAGTGTGAGCGAAGCAAGGGTCTGAGAACAGGCCATAAAGCAGTTGGGCTGGCTGAATCAGGCAAAGAGGATTTTCCAGAAGATAAAACAAGAGAAACTGGTTTTGATATTTCAGCAGGAAATTTGGAGATTATATGACATGGAGCAGGCCCCAAGATCCCACCTTTAGGAGCAACCTCCCTCTTTCAAAGACTGTAGGACCCTTTTACCCTTCTACCATAGACCCTTATCATTTGAGGCACAACTTCGTGGCTTCTGCTGTTACCATGACAGTGGTGGGAGTTACTTGCCGTGGGGAACCCTTGCTTCCTTCTGGGGATTTATAATAGATTGGCACATGTGAGAAATGAGGGCAGAAGGGGAAATGGAGTGGTCCTGCCTCAGACTCTCTCATCAGAGATGCCTATACTGGGTGATTCAGCTTGACAGATTGAGAAGGTGCCCGTGAAGCCAGGTCTTGGAACACTCCTTCTTTGCTCTGCCCTTCTGCCCTGCACTGCATGCACTTTGTACGTGCCCAGCTGCTTGGGCCCTGCTGTGTTTGTCCTGTGATGACAGCATGCCTACTCTACCAATAAGCTTAGTCGTTCCACAAGTGCACACTGAGAAAGGAGAGGCAGCTTTTGCTTTCTCTGGAACAAAGCTGAGAGAAGTCCTTGCAGTTATGAGGGCATGTACTCTGCCTCCCATGGGAGTTGGTTTTAAACTGAGCAGAGACATTTGTGTTGGGATCTTCAATTCCCATGGGAAGAAGTCATGGTGGAGTGCACCTTGTCAAGCAATTTGGCTTCTATCTTGCCTCAGCCACGGACTAGCTACATGACTGGTTACATTTAATCAATCTGGTCCTCTGTTTCCTCATTTTCCATAAATGTTTAGCTGTACACAGGTTAAGTTGTGAGGGTTTCATGATGCGGTAGCTAGTCAGTAAATGCTTGTGTTTCCCTCTCTATCCTCGCCGCTAAGAGGTTTTAGAAATGGTACTTTGGTGCCCTAGATGCCAGCGATCACCTTTTCCCGAAGGCTCAGACAAGCTTGCCCTGCCCCATTTGTGCCTATCTTCTTACATTAGGCTGGTGAGAATGGAGCACCTTTGCTTTCAGCAGTGACACTTCAGTGTCCCAGAGGTCCTCCTGCCTTTGGAACCCCACCTCTAGCTCATTTTTCATGACCTAGATTTTCTGTTCTGGCCAACCCCCATGACTTCTGCTTCTTAGCCATCAGTTTCTGCTTTTCATTTATCTGTATGGCTGGAGATGAATAATAGCTCCGTGGTAGAGTGCTTGCCTACAGTAGACTTCTAGGTTTGATCCCTAGCACCATAAAACAAAAGCCCAAACGAGCAGGCCTCATTGTCTGCATATTCTGTCTTCATTCAGATTGCTTAAACTCTTTGTCCTCTAGGCGCATGTACTTGACCCATGCCTCAGCTCTCAGGTACTCACTTTGTACTCTTTTCTCCTCCCCTCCTTTCTCTCTGTTTTTCTGTCTTGTAGCTCACACATAATGAAAATGTTATAGTCCAGCTCAGGGATTCTAGACAAGCCATCCTTTTCCACTGACTCCTGTGGTAAACCAAGAACAGTTCCCATGGAACTAAAGGTGCTTGAGTTTGAATTGGGATCTTCAGGGAAGGTGGTTGAGGGTGGAGTCTGTTTAGATCCATGGTCTAAGGTTTGATGCCAGAACTGCTTGTGAGGAACATTTCTGCTCTCTAGAGTCATCCCTGTGAATTGGACACCTCCTTTCCCAGGCTTTAGGGATTTCTTTCAAATCCCTGGGAACCCCTGACTTCTCACTTCCTGGAATTTACCTTGTTGCGCTACAGAACAGGGGTGGGCTACACTGTGATACATGACATCACCACTAAGAATATTTCTAATATATGATGTCCTCTGTTTTCACATTTCCTAAATTTGAAGCTTTTAACTTCTTTTTGAGACAGGGTTTGAGGCCAAGTTGGCCTCAAACTTGGGATCCTCCTGCCTCAATTTCCTCAGGGCTGGGGATTATAGGCACAAGCTAGCACTATAGGCTCGGAAGCTCCTGGTTTTATAAAATTATTGTTAGTAAATTTACTAGTTTTAATTCTAGGCAATGGATGAACTTAACATGTGGGCCACAGGTACATTAATTTGCCCTGGTTGCATTCCTTCTATATCCAACACCCATTCCCCAGAGATCTAGTGTCTCATTGAGAAGTCTGAGTTTGTTCAGGGACGAGCCTGTCTTCTCTGTCGCGCCTCTCCTTTCATTCTGGACAGGCTGTGGTCTGTATGCCTGGGGTTCACAGCACAGGCTCAGGCAGGCCCTTCATCTTGTAGCTGTGCAGGTTCTTCAGGGAAAGCTGCTCAGGTGGTTCTTTCTCTTTCTGGAGGGAGTTATATAATAGCCAGAGAACTCTGACCTTTGAACTGTTCCTGACTTTCTGACTCTTTTGCTGGAAAGTTGGGAGGTGATAGGGGATGCCCCATGGTGTGAAAGCCCTGCTTGCACTCTCTATACTTTCTTCTAATGTAAACTAGAGAAAATAAAAAGCATAGTGAGGCTGGGTCAGGGGAGGTCAGAGCAGCTAGCATAGGGAACTGGAAATAAGGTGAGCAGATGGTAAATGGTGCTAAGTGGCACCATGTTGAGGATGGAAGGTGGTTGCCTCTTCAGAGAGTCTAGGAACATAAAACATAGAGAACATTCCCTTCTAGCTGCCAGGAGCTTCTTCCATGCTGCTTAGTGACACCCCATTAGCCCAGGTAGGCCTTTCATCCTGCCAGGTAGATGGATTGTCCACAGCATCCTAAACTTACCCAGGCAAGTCAGATATAGAGGGTAGTCCCTGTTCAGGACAGGCCTAGGGAGACACACAAATCAGGGTGGACAAGCCTATAAACAGTTGTAGGAGTGGAGGGAAGCTCTGGTTTAGTTAAGTGGTAGGAACTGATTTCTGGAAGAAGGGATCTGGGTTGGGAAGGACTAGTCAAGGACAGAAAAGGGAACAAAGGGGAGGCTGGTCTGTGAAGGCTAGGCTTTGTGGAGGTGAGTATCCCAGGAGACACAGCCTAAAAAGGGGCTGTGGAGCCTAGGCAGGAGGGGAGAGTACAAAGTGCTAACCTTCCTCACCTCTCTGCCTGCCCATATCCCAGGTCTTCAGATACAATGGAGGACAAGCGCAACATCCAGATCATCGAGTGGGAACACCTAGACAAGAAGAAGTTTTATGTGTTTGGTGTGGCGATGACAATGATGATCCGGGTCAGTGTGTACCCGTTTACCCTCATCCGTACCCGGCTGCAGGTTCAAAAGGGGAAGAGCCTCTACCATGGGACCTTTGACGCCTTTGTCAAGATCCTGAAGGCAGATGGTGTGACTGGCCTGTACCGGGGGTTCCTGGTCAACACCTTTACACTCATCTCTGGTCAGTGCTATGTTACCACTTATGAGCTTACCCGGAAATTTGTAGCTGACTATAGCCAGAGTAACACAGTCAAATCACTGGTGGCTGGTGGCTCAGCCTCCCTTGTGGCCCAAAGCATCACAGTGCCCATTGATGTAGTCTCCCAGCACCTGATGATGCAGCGCAAGGGTGAGAAAATGGGTCGCTTCCAAGTTTGTGGAAACCTAGAGGGACAAGGGTTAGTTGCTTTTGGCCAGACTAAGGATATCATCAGACAGATCCTGCGCGCTGATGGGCTTCGAGGCTTCTACCGAGGTTATGTGGCCTCACTGCTGACATATATCCCAAACAGTGCTGTCTGGTGGCCCTTTTATCACTTCTATGCAGGTAAGCAGGGATGGGGGGTGGGGTGGGGGGGCAGTTACTGATGCTTAGTGTTTGGGAGTGGAGATGAGCATAGTGTGGCAAGGATCAGACTGCTAGTGCCACTCAGTTCTGGTATCACAGGCATGTGCCACCATACCCAGCTGAACCTTATTTTTTGCTAGCTTGGTTTCTTCTGTTTAGCACAATCTTTCTTCTAGACTGTGTGGCAAAATTGAACCCTAGACTCTATCCTGACCCTTTGGGAATACATTCTGGCAATCTTTGTATGTTTTTGTTTTAGTATGTGTCAAGGTCTTACTGTCCACACTGGCCCTGAACTAAACTCTAGTCCAGGATAACCTGGAGTTAATAGCAGTCTTCCTGCTTTAGCCTCCTAAGTAGTGACTGGGATTACCTATACAAAAACTTTGTAGGAAGGGTAGAGATGTAGCTCAGTGAGTGAGGGCTTAGCTAACATGCAGGAGTTCCTGGGTTTAATCCCAGCACTGGAGAAAAACAAAAGCTTCCCTGGAGGGGATGGAGAGATAGCTCAGTGGTTTAAGAGCATTGGCTGCTCTTGCAGAAGACCCAGGTTTGATTCCCAGTACCCATATGGTGGCTAACAACCATCTTAACTCCAGTTCCAGAGAATCCAACACCATCTACTGACCTCCTCGGGCACTGTATGACATGGGTGCACTTATATTCCTGCAGGCAATACACATAAAAGTAATAACAACAACAACAACAACAAAAAAGAAACTTCCCAAGAAATGTTCTCTCTGGCATCTGCCTTTGGCCTTCTACCCTCATTTGACCCTGTATGTCCTATGTTCTATATCCACTGTCAGCCAAACTTGTCTAGAGATCTCATCAGACATTTGACTATTGAACTTTTGCACCTGAAAGCTAGGGATGGAGCCCAAGTAACCATGTATGCTTATGCCACTGAGCTGTATCACCAGCTCTTTTTTTCTGTTTATTTTTTTAAATGAGGGGGTCTTTTTTTTGTTTTTGTTTTTGGGTGTTTTTTTTTTTTTTGGTATTTTTGAGACAGAGTCTCCCTGTACAGCTGGCCTTAAACTCACAAGAGATCTTCCTGCCTCCCAAGTGCTGGGATTAAAAGCATGCACTACCACCATGCCCAGCCTTTTTTTTTTTTTTGTCTTTTGAAACAGGGTCCCCTTGTAGCCTCAGGCTGGCCTTGAATTTACAGAGCTCTGTCTGCCTCTACGTGATTAAAGGCGTTTATGACTGTTTTGTTTGCATGTGTATAAGTGCACCAGTGCTGTGCAATGCCTAAAGAGAACAAAAGAGGGCTTCAAATCCTGAGAACTGGAGTTATGGGCAGTTGTTCGCTGCTGTGTGGGTGCTGGGAACCAGACCTAGGTCCTCTGTAATTGCCACCAATGCCCTTAACTGTTGAGCTGTCTCTCCAATCCCTCAGCTTGTTTTGATACTGGGTGTCCTAGCTGGGCCCCAACTTGCTGTATACTTGAAGATAGCCTTGAATTTGTAATTCTCTTACCTGTACCTCCTGACTGCTGGGATTTAAAGGCCTGCACTACCATGTCTGGTTTACTCAGTGCTAGGGATCAAAAACTGGGCATCACCCATGCTAGGCAAGTACTCTACCAACTGAACTACATCCCTAGCCCCCTTTTTAATACTTTTGATTTTGAGACAGGTTCTCACTAAGCTTGTAGGCTCGGCTGAATTTACTCTATATCCCAGGGAGGCCTTGAACTTGTGATCCTCCTGCCTCTGCCTCCCAAGTGCTGGGACTACAGATATGCATCACCATGCCCTGCTCCTTTGAAGCCCTAATTATAAGGCTGGGGTATAGCCCAGTGGTAGAGCACTCTGCCATGGATACCTTTCCCCCTAGTCTTCCTGTGGCTAGCTTCTCATGCTTTAGGCCTAACTTATCACTTTGTAAAAAAAAACTTCTTTACCCTGTTAGAAAGAGGAAGCTCTCTTTTCTGTTTTATCTCCTTTATTCCTTCTTAGCCCTTGTCATACTTTGCAATTCTTTTACTCCCAACTTCTAGCTCCTTAATTGGAATCTAAATTCCATGAAGATTTTCCATCTGTCTCTTTCCCTCTGATTTTTGATTTTTGAGACCGTGTGTGTGTGTGTTTTGAGATGGTCTCCCTGCAGCCCTAGCTGACCTGGAACTCACTATGGAGACCAGGCTGGCCTTGATCTCCCAGAGATCTGCCTGGCTCTACCTCCTGAGTTCTGGGATTAAACGTATGCACCACCATGCCTGGCTTTGAGACAGGGTTTTACTGTGTAACTCTGGCTGGCCTGGAACTGGCTATTTGGATCAGGCTGCCCTCAAACTCACAAAGATCCACCTGCCTCTACTTCCTGATTGCTGGGACTAAAGCCATGCACTACCTGGTCTAGTCCTTCTTTGTTTCATATCTAGTGTTTATCACAATGCCTGGCATTCAATAAATGTTAAATATTTATTTATATTACTTGTGTCCAAGTCAGTTAGGTAGGTAGGAGGTACTTAAACTAATTGGTCTGGGTTTATCTTCCACCTTATACAGGTGTTCAATAAATATTTGTTGAATGAATGATGTAGAGGGAAGAAAGTCTCTTTGTCCTTCCTGCCCTCTTGCCTTCATTTTTTCATTCTCTAAGCCCCAGGAAAGAGGCATGTGTACATAGTGAGAATTGGAATCTGAATCTTATACAGCTTGTAGGCCTGAGACTAGTACATACATGCCCAAGGAGTCAGCCACCGCCAGGCCCAGTATTATAGTGTAATGATTGCAAATGTCTTCTTCACAGGAGAAAAAGTCATGTATGAAGCAAAGACTCCAGTTTACTCTATTTTTGTTTGCTCTGGGGAGGAGCACAATTAGAAACTGGGGAAGAGGTAGTTCTGCTAGGCTTAAGGAATGCTGTCCTGCCAACTGGGACTTGGAAGCCGGGACTTCTGCTCAGCCAACTGCCATCTTCCTACTTCTCTAATCTTTAGTTACTGAGCCACAAGCTACCAAAACTAAGCATATGAAGAATATTCTTTTTTTAAAAATGTTTATTATTTTAATTTTATGTGTATGAGTGTATTGCCTGCATGTATGTGAGTGCACCCATGTCGTGTAGTGCCGCGGAGGTCAGAAGAGGGCTTCAGATTTCCCTGGAACTGGAGTTAAGGATGGTTCATAGCTGCCATGTGGGTGCTAGGAATCAAACACGGGCCCTCTGCAAGCACAGTCAGTGCTCTTAACCGCTGAGCCATCTCTCCAGCTCCATGAAAAACATTCTTTTTTCTGAAAAGCATTCTTAAAGATATAGTGATAGGGGGCTGGAGAGATGGCTCAGCAGTTAACAACACTGGTTGTTCTTTCAGAGGACCTGGGTTCGAATCCCAGCAACCACATGGCAGCTAACAACTGTCCATAACTCCAGGGGATCTGTCAGCCTCTTCTGTCCTCTGTGGGCATTGCACGACATGGGTGCACTTACCTCCATGCAGGCAATACACGCATACACATAAAATAAAAATTAAAAAAAAAAGATATAGTGATTGATTAGAAGAGAAAACTGAGAAATCTTTGAGAATATAAGTCCGTATGACTTTCGTATCTTAGGGTAAAAAGCCTAAGTTCTTGCAATGGCTTCAAGGTCCTTAGTATTACTTGGATCTCATTTACTATTATTTCTCCTTGTTCTGCTCCAGATCACTGGTGTTGCTGTCCTTGAACACTCAGGCATGCTTTTACCTCAGAGTGCTCACATAAGATGTTACTCTGCTTGGAATTCTCTACCCGTGTGTGGCATAAACTCTGCTCAGCAGGACTTTGTCCCCAACTTTACTTTGTTGTTAAGGACCTCCATGACTGTCTTGTTTAAAATGGCAGCTCCATTTACCCCACCGTTGGTATTCTCTATCTTGCCTGTTTTATTTAGCTATAGCATATACCTTTTGACATGGCCATATCCTTTTTTTTTTTTTTTCTTCTTGGTATTTTTGACACATGGTCTCCCTGCAGCCCCAGCTGGCCTGGAACTTACTCTGTAGACCAGACTGGCCTTGAACTCACAGAGATCTGCTTGCCTCTGCCTCCCAAGTGCTGGGATTAAAGGCATGGGCGAGTATGCCCAGCCTGGTCATATGCTTTTTTTATGATCTCAGAATCACCTGCCTCTGCCTCCCGAGTTTCATTTATTTATTTTTGCTTTTGTGAGACAAGTTCTCTCTTGGCTTAGGTTGGTCTTGAACTCCTGATCCTCCTCCTTTCATTTCTCAAGTACTGGAATTATAGGCAAGCACCACTACATCTGACTTTTTTGAAAAATAGAATCTCATGTTTCTTAGGCTGGCCTTGAAGTCATTGGCTAGCTGATAATGACCTTGAACTTCTGATTTTCCTATTTCTACTTCCAGAGTGCTAGAATCACAGGCTGATATTACAGGTATATGGTACCATGCTGTTTTCTGTGGTGTTGGGGAGCCAACCCAGGGCTCCATGCCTACTAGGTAGGTGTTCTACCAACTCAGCTACATCCCCAGCCTCTTTTTTTGTGTTCTTGAGACGGCACCTCTTGTAACCTAAACTGGCCTGAAATTCACTGAGGCTGAGGCTGACCTTGGACTTCCAGTCTTCCTGCTCCCATCTTGTAAGTGCACTACCATGCTCAGTTGCTTTTTCTTTCTGGATAAACCTGGCCCTCACTATAAGACTTCCTATTTTAATACTGTTTCTATTTGTAAAAATACTCAAAATGCTACAAAATTACAAAAGAATTTTCATGGGCTAGGGATGTAGCTGAGTTGGTAGAAGACTTGCCTAACATGCATGAAGCCCCAGGCTCCATCTCCAGTACTGCATAAAATCAGCTGTGGTGGCACATGCCTTAATCCCAGTACTTGGTAAGGTAAGTGAAGGCTGGAGCTTATCCTTGGCCATATAATTAGTTCCAGGCGAGCCTGGGCTACATAAGACCCTGTTTTACCACTCCTCCCAAAATAGAAAAGAATTTTTAAAGAAAAAGGTATGCAGTACCACTGAACAGGCTTCTCATCCACTTAGTGGCCCAGTCCTACTTCCCCTCCAGCATGACCCATTCTATGTCACCGTCACAGGTTTCTTTTTTTTTCTGGCGATAGGGTCTTATTACCTCCCTTTTGCTGGTATTAAAGGTGTGTGCCACCATGCCTGACTTTCTTTCTTTTCCTTCTTTCACTATTTTTATTTTATGTGTATGAGTGTATTGCCTGTATGTGTGTGAGTACATCTGTGTCATGCCATGCCTGTGGAGAGGGGATCCCCTGCAACTGGCATTATGGATGGTTGTTAGCCTCTCAGTGGGTGCTGGGAATTCAACCCAGGTCCTCTGCAAGAGCAGCCAGTGCTCTTAACTGTTGAGCCATCTCTCCAACCCCTTCTTTTTTTTTTTTTTTGGGCCAGGGTCACCCTGTCGCACCACCCGCCCTTTATTTACTTGGGAAGCCGGGGGTGCCTTCAACCCCCAAAGACCCGCCTGCCTCTGCCTCCCGGGTGCTGGGATTAAAGGCGTGCACCACCACATCCGGCTTTGTCTTTCTTTTTTTGAGACAGTCTAATATTGAAAACTCAGGCTGACCTGGAATTTACTATGTAGCCCAGGCTAGTGTCATGGCAATTCTGCTTCAGTCTGACCACTGAGATTATGGGCTTGAGCTACCACACCTGGCTAGTGTTGTGGTTTTTAATGTATTCTACTAGAATGTTACATAAGCATGGATCAGTATATGAATTGTTTTTGTATCAGGAAGGTGAAAGGAGTGAGCAAGCGAAGAGGTTTTGAAATTCCTAAGTGTTTTTCTGTTTAAGTAATGTCACCAAAATGACTTCTAAAGAGTCCAGAGGTGACATAATATGCATTTTTAGTGGATGCAGGTAGATACAGAGAGAAGTGTAAAGGTCCAAAATGGCAAAGGCTGACTGAGGACTTGTCTTGGATATGAAGGCTTAGCCAGGGTATACGGGTGCTACCTCATGTCTTCAGGCATTGTCTTTCCCTGGATTCCAGAGCAGCTGTCGTACCTGTGTCCTAAGGAGTGCCCTCACATTGTCTTTCAAGCCATCTCTGGGCCCCTGGCTGCAGCCACTGCCTCCATCCTCACCAATCCTATGGATGTCATCCGAACCCGTGTGCAGGTAATAATGTTGGCCTTTTCCCTAGTCTCCTCCCCACCCTCTACCAGAGAAGCCATTAGAAGCATGATCTGTAGGCCTGCAGTGTCCCTCTGACCTCAGTGTGCCATGACTCTGCTGTCCAGTTAGCCAGCTGGTCATCTAAGTCCTTTCCTGGCCTTATCTCTTCACATATAGCTGAGTGCTTAGAAGTATCTAGATTGTTTGTCTTATCCTGTCTGCTGCCTTGCATGTCTGCACCCATTACAGGCCCTGCCTCCGGGATTTCTTACTGGTTTCTTCCAGCCTTCAGCTGGTATCTATTCCCTAACCTATTTGCCTAGGCCTCAACCACCCTTTCCTTACCTTGCAGTTTTATGGTGATTAGAATTACTAGTTTCAGTTTGTTTCAGAAGTCTCTGATTTTTTTTTTCCCCTAGGCCATGAACAGAGAGAGACTTTTTTTAAAGAAATCTCATGAGTTGGTTCCCTCTTTCTATTATATGGGTCCTGCTCCTTCCACTATGTGGGAATCTAACTCACGTTGTCAGGCCTGACAGCAGGAGCCTCTCCCACTGAGTATCTTGTTCCTTTTTTTAAAAAACAAACAGGATCTTATGTTCCCAGACTGGCTTTGTACTCACTATGTAGCTGAGGATGGCCTTGAACTTTTGATCCTCCTGCCTCTACCATCAGAGTACTGGGTTTACAGATATGTGCTACCACACCTGGTATAAGAGGTGCTAGGGTTCAAACTCAGGACTTCATACATGTTAGCTAGGCACTCTACCAATGGAGCTACATCTCTAGCCCTTTTTGCTTCTTTTGAGACAGTCTCTTATAGTCTACTCTGGCCTTGAATTTGGCTGTGTAGTAGATGCTGTCCTTGAACTCCCGATCATCCTTCTACCTTCTGAGTGCTGGGATTGCAGGCAGGTGCTGTCATGATTTTTTTTTTTTTTTTTTTGAGACAAGATCTCATAGTTCAGCAAGGCTGGCCTCAAACTCATTATGTTGTAGCTGAAAAAAAAACAAAACTCATTTATTTATTTTGTGTGTATATGTATGTGTGTATGAGGACACACATGTAAGTCAGAGGATAACTTGCAGGACTTGGTTTCTCTCTTTCCACAATGTGGATTCTAGGGCTCAAACTCAGGTCATCAGGCTTGGCTTGATGGCAAGCACTGAACCATGTTGGTGGCCTGAGAGACTTCTTAAAAAATTTTTTTTGGGGGGTCTTTTTGAGAAATAGAATTTGAATAATGGTATATAATATGCAATGGATAGGTTTTGCTTTATAAAGTTTTTTTTTATTTTGTTTTTTTTGAGACAGGGTCTCTCTGTAGCCCCAGCTGTCCTGGAACTCGCTATGTTGACCAGGCTGGCCATGAACTCACAGAGATCTGCCTGCCTCTGCCTCCCAAGTGCTGGGATTAAAGGCCTGCGCCACCACGCCCAGCCTTTGCTTTATAAAGTCTTAGGTACACATACAGTAAGTCTGATTTTAATGTCTAACTTCAAGAAATATATATGGGAGAGGGGTCATTGGAATATAGTGAAGACAGGCGAGAAAAGAAAGAACCTTAAAGGTTGGGGATAAAGTCAATTTCTCTGCCACCAGAGTGTCCAAAGGAAAGGGGCAACAAATGTAGACATTTTTGTTTGTAGGAGAGAGTCTTTCTTTCAACATTTGAAAATAAATACACTGACGTTTGATTGGCATACAGTTGTACCCGCTATGGTCTTCTTTGTGGACAGAACCAGGGTTGGTCCCATTCTTTCCTGAACTTTGTTCTAGGTGTTCTAGGAGGCAATCCTAGGGAAAGGATGGGTCCCTGCTCTGAGGAACTTCTAGGCTGGAGGCCAGAGGCAAAGCTGAGAAAGCCCTTGACATGGCCAGAGGAGGCTGGGGAAGCAGAGGTGGTCAGATGAGATACTGGAGAGAAAGAAGGGATATAGAAGAAGGTATGAAGAAAGCAGGGTAGAGTATGGTGGAGCTGGGATCACTTTGTGAAAGTCACATGGAATAGGGAGAGTATGAACAAGGAGTTCTCCTGGCTTGCATTGGTTGAAGGACTCTATGCTGGTCTCTAAAGGTGTGCTTTGAGAGTAGGGGGAAGTGAGTGGAGCTGTTGAGAAAATAGGGAAAAGAGATTCTTGTCCTGGCCAGACTTCTAGTGTGATGATAGGGAATACAGGCTGCTGGGTACGTGAACAGTAAGAGGGGAGGGTTCTAGCCCTAAAGCCTAGAGAGATTGAGATGACAAGAGTCAAAGTCATAAGCTTGGCAGAGCTGCTGAGGACCTCATTGGGGACTGAATCCAGCCTCCTGGAGACTGAGAAGCACCCAGTCCAAAGACTCACAGCTAGGTAGTTTACCTAAGGTGATAACTGACACTAATAAGTACTGTCTGCCAGGCACTCTTGTTTTTGCTTACCATGTTACCTTGGCTGGCCTGGAACTTGCTATGTACACTAAGCAGGCTTCAAACTTACAGAGATCCTCCTGCCTCTGCCTCGTGAGTGCTGGAATTAAAGACATGTCCCACCAGGCCTGGCTCTGTAGTTGATATTTGTAAGTATTATTTTCTTTTCGCTCATAACAACTTTGTGGCAGAGGGACTTTTATTACCATTTGAGGAAACCAGGGTGGAAAGCGTTAAGTAAATTACCCAAGGTTATGTTTTTAGTGAAATGGGGAACAAACATCAAACCTAGGTAGTCTGGCACAAGAGCTCAGAAGTCACTGTGCTATACCCTTCAGAAACAGAGTCTCTACTTGAGTCTGAAGCAGAAGGGGATGGAGCAGAAGATAGTTGGTGGCCTTTCACTGTGGTGACTTTTCCAGGTTGAAGGCAAGAGCTCCATCATCCTGACCTTCAAACAGCTGATGGCAGAAGAGGGGCCTTGGGGCCTCATGAAGGGCCTCTCAGCCCGAATCATTTCAGCTACACCATCCACCATCGTCATTGTGGTGGGCTATGAGAGCCTCAAGAAACTCAGCCTCCGACCTGAGCTGGTGGACTCAAGACACTGGTAGCCAGTAGTGGGCAGAGAAACCTGCAGTTTCACACGCTACTCTGGGCCAGAGCAGAGTAGGGAGGATATTGCCCTGGTGAATGCTCCCACCACATACCCAGCCTGCCCTGGGCCAAGTGGCCTGTTGGGGACAAGGAAGAGACTTTGAATTGCTCTTGCTGATGAGGTTCTGGGCCTGGGTCCCTTCCCCACTTTCTATTTCTCCTGTCCAACTGGGCTCCCTCATTCAGCCCTTTTGCTCAGCCTTGGCTCGAAGACCTACCCACTCTAACCCTGTTGACGCCTTGCTGGTTTCCCTTTCCACCTGCCCCTGTGGCCTCAAGAAAAGCTGTTCATAGACCTTGCTTACTACCACTGGATCTTCCTTCTGGGACTTCAGCCAAGCCGCTAAGCAGCTGCCCACTGTTCTACTCTGCTTTGCCCTGCCTTTTGGGGACAAATTGAAGCAGCAAGAGCCCCTGGCTCTGCAGAGTATTCATCTTTGGGAGTTACTCAGAGGGAGAAATGCTGAGGCTTTACTTTCGTGTGTATTTGAACATCTGTGACCCAGTCAATTAATCCTGATAAAGCACCAGTCCTGCTGTCAGAACTACTCTCTTTAATCTCTTCACTGCTCTTTCAGGCAGGGGAACCTGTAGATATGGGCTGTTGGCCTCCCTTGGCCCAGGTGGCTACAGTAGAGGGCACAATTCTAAGTAGATCAGGTTTGCTGGAGTACACTGTGCTTGGAACATTACCCTAAGCCAGAGAGAGTAGGTGGCTTGGAAAGTGACAAGAGGGAGTATGTTCTCCACTATTATCTCTTCAGACCAGCTGAGCCAAGCCCAGGAGAGGGCAGTGGAGGTTCTAAGCCCCAAGCAACAATGCCATACACATACCTGTCACTCAGACTTATGGCAACAATCTCACAATGGGATTCTTTTGAGATTATGACCTGTCTTTGTTTTTCTGCTTCCTGGATGTGAAGTGTCATCTCAGTCATGGTATCCCTGTGCTTGCTATAGAATAATGAGCAGTCAGGAAGTCACCCAATGCAAGGACCACTGCATTTGCCAGCCTGATACTGCCGAGATTGTCTGTTGAAGCGCCCCTCAGGAGCTAGGAGATGGGGCTTCTTCCTCCCTGCCTCATCTTCCACACCCCTGCCTCCACTAAGCCTGTGTTTCAGGCAGAGAGGTGCATGCAGCAAGTGGAAACGGAAGAAGGCAGTCAAAGCTGCCTTCCTGCTTGAGACATTTGGCCTGGATGACTCTTTAAACCTTTTTAGTGGTCCCATCTCTTGGGAAATGCCATGGTGCCAATCTGAAAGGTGCTAGCTAACTGAAGCCTTGATGTTCCTTATGGCTGCCCCACATTGTTCCATTCTGGCTAATCAGAATCTAAAACTATTTATCCTTACCTCCAATACTAATCTTAGTCCATTTTCTTTTTAATTCCTTGTTTCTTTCTACATTTTGGTATTTTGTTTTTGAGGCAGGGGTCTCATATATTCCAGGCTGGCCCTGAACTCAAGATGGAGTGTTGGGGGGGTGGGGATGGAGGGGTGGGGGGGTGATCGTGAACTCCTGATCCTCCTGCCTCTACCTTCTGAATGTTGGGTTTACTGTGTGCCACCAGGCCTGGCTTCCTGCACTTTACTAAAAGCCCTCCAATTCTGTCCATAGTCATTCAAAGGGCAGAGCCCACCGATCATTTTGAATCTTCTTGTTCCTCACTATCACACTATCAATATAATAGAAGCAGGCACCCCATCTCTTTAAGACCTTTGAGATTTGTTTTCTCAGCTCTATTACTTTTCTCTCCCTCTTGTCTTTCTTTGGAACGTCCTTCTGTGGCAAAGTATGGATAGGACAGGTAGTCTCCTGTCCCTATTTCTTCCTCCAGACTTCCTTTTTCTTGTACAGTATTTAAGTCTCACCATTTTTTTAAAGGAAGAGGTGTGTAAAGTTAAAGGAATCCCTGGCCTTGGCCCCTACTTTTCCTTAAATTCAGGGACCAGGATTGACCCTGGTGAGGATGGGCCAGTTGACTTCCGTTTTCCCAAACCTGGAGACCAAAGCGTCTGGAAATTTTGATGTACTGATTTGTAACCCAATCTAGAAACATCTGAGAGACTGAGCAAGACAGGAAAACTGAAGTGACATGGGAATGAACATGCAAATTCAGCATTTGATACAAATGGACTCGTGGATATTAGCAGCGAATATTCACTGTTGCACTGTACGAAATCTTTGAAATGTAATTAAAAGTTTTTATTGAGCCCCTAAGCTTTGTCTTGCGTATGTTTTCCCAGGCTGAGAACCAAGCACTGCCTTCCCTGACCCTCAGCCCTAGGTTAGCTGCCCCACCCGCTCCGGCTCGGGGATAGGCACTCGGCTGCCTCCAATCGGAGGCCGTGGTGGGCGGGGCGGCCAAACCTGGTCAATTTGGCGGTTCGTTTCAACATGGCTGAGGCGAGCAACGAGGAGGCATCTGCAGAAAAAAGGCCTGAGGACTCGGCTCCGGAGTCTGTGCCGCTCGACGCGACAGTCTCCAGGGTGAACCTCCTCGACACCTTGGTGGACACTTTCCTCCAGAAGTTGGTCAGCGCCGAGAGGTAGGACACCAGTGAGCGGCCGTGAGGAGACGGTTGGTCTCGGACCGCGATTCTCGAGACCCGCCCGAACGCCGTCACGTGGGGCGGCGGGGCCAGCTTGGCGCGCTGAATGTGGTCGGCGCCCTGAGGGCCGCGCACTGGAGTCAGGTGTCGGCCGACATGCTGCCCCCGCCCTTTCCTCTCCGGTGCCTGGATTGACTAAAACTTGCACACCCGCAAGACTACTCTTTGTTGGCGCCTCGGCCAGATGGCAGCACGAGTATCTTCCCAAAGGATCGTCTGGAGAATTACCTGGACCAAACACATCCTAAGGCGCCCAGATCAGGGTTTGTTTATTTTATGCGTATGAATGTATTGCCTGCGAGTAAGTGGTCCTGTGTGCAGTGCAGGCGGAGGTCAGAAGAGAACGTCGGATACCCCGGAACTGGAGTTACCGACAGTTGTTGGCCCCCGTGTAGGTGCTGGGAATCGAACCTGAGTCGTCTGCAAGAGTAGCCAGTGCTCCTAACCGCTGAGCCATCTCTCCAGCCCCTCCTCCTCCTCAGTATCCTTTTTTCCTCTTGAGACAGGGTCTCCCTGTAGCCCCAGCTGGCCTGGAACTTGCTTTGTAGAACAGGCCGGCCTTGAACTCACAGAGATTGGCCTGTCTCTGCCTCCCCGGTGCTGCGCCACCAAGCCCTCCTCAGTATCTTATTTCTAGCCTTTCCACCACAGAGTTCAGAACTTCCCTGTCAGTCAGTGGATGCAACCATCAGCCTCCAAACCCATCTGGCCTCAGTCTTACCGCTCCCTCCAGTCCACATGATTTGATCATGTCCTGTTTAACATACCATATTTAATTGGTTTGGGGCTGCTTGGCTTCATGCTCCCTGCCTCTAGCCTCAGGTCTGAACCATGAGGTACAAAGCAAGCATCTTGCAAATGGAAGTCCTGGGACCTGCCACTTTCCCTACTTACTGCTTACTAGGACATTCTTCCCATCATTTGACTAAATAGGCACTGATAGCTGGTTTCTATATAGAGTGGTCTCAATAAATTTTTTTAAAAGAATAGTTCATGGGTTGGGGAGTAACTAGAGGACTTCCTGCTAAGAAATGTCATTTGTGTGGCTGGAGAGATGACTCAGTGATTAACAGCACTTGGCTGCTCCTCTTGAGGACCTGAGCTTGGTTCCCAAAACCTACATGGCAGCCAACAACTGTCCTTAACTCCAGTTCCAGGGGATCCAACACTGTCTTCTGGACTCCATAGGCATTGCACAACCCCATGCTCTCTTATACATGCAGGCAAAACACTCATACACACAAAAATAAATCAATCAAAAAATTTTAATGTCATTTGCAAATATAGACCTTTTTTTGGTCTTTTTTGAGACAGGGTCTCCCTGTAGCCCCAGCTGTCCTGGAACTCACTATATAGACTAGGCTGGCCTTGAACTCACAAAGATCCACCTACCTCTGCCTCCCAAGTGCTGGGTCTAAAGGTGTACGCCACCATGCCTGGTGGCTCTAGACTTTTAAGATGTTTGTAAATATTTGTTCCCCCACCTCCCTCCCTCAACCCACCAGAAAACCCTCCTAAGCCATTAAAAGTCCTCAGTCTGAAGTATGAAGTGCTTATACCTATGACAGAAATCTTCACATGATAATTGTTTCTCTATTCACGTGTCAGTGATATAAAGCTTTGTTTTTTGTTGAGGTTTTTGTTTTTGTTTTGAGACAGGGCTCGTTCTGTTGTCCAGACTACCCTGGAACTCACTATACAGCACAAGCTGGGCTTGAACTCTGCTAAGATTATGTATGCATACCACCACATCCATCTTAAAGGGATTTTTGTGTTATGTGTTCTTTTTTCTTTTTTAAAATTACTATTTTAAACATTTTTATTATATTTTATTTATGTGTATGAATGTATTGCCTGCATGCATGTAAGTGCACCTGTGTCATGCAATGCCCACAGAGGTCAGAAGAAGGTGTCAGATTCCCTGGAACTGGAATTATGGACAGTTGTTAGCTGCCATGTGGATACTGGGAATTGAACCTAGGTCCTCTGCAAGTGCAGTCAGTGCTCTTAACCGCTGAGCCATCTCTCTAACCCCTAAATTATTTTATGTGTATGAATTTTGCCTGCATGTAAGTGGACCATGAATGTGCCTGGTACCCATCGAGGCCAGAAAAGGGCATCAGATCCCCTGGCACTGGACTTATAGACAGTTGTTAGCAGCCATTTGGGTACTAGGAACCAAACCTGGGTGATCTGCAAGAGCAGCCAGTGTGTATGTGTGGATGGACATGGGTGCACCAGAAGATGTATGCACATGCATGTGAAGACCAGAGGTCAAATGAAGTTTACTTTCCTCAGAAGCCTTTCACCTTTTTTTTTTTTTTTTTTGAGACAGGGTCTCCCTGTAGCCTCAGCTGGCCTGAAACTTGGTATGTAGAGCAAGGTGGCCTAGATTTCATAGAGGTCTGCCTGCCTCTGCCTCCCAAATGCTGGGATTAAAGGCATTGGCTACCATACCCAGCTTCCCACTATGCGTTTTTATGTGGGTTCTAGAGATCCAAGGCAGGTCCTCATGCTTACAAAGCAAGCACTTTACCAACTGAGCTCTCTCTTCAGCCCTTTAAAGGAATTTTTAAAAGGAGAGATAGGTTTTCCCTAAAACTCAGCATTTAAATTTTTGTGTGTGTGAGAGTATATGTGAGGTATATATGTGTGATTATGTATGAATGTGCATATGCACTCCTGTGTACACATAAATGTCAGAGGAGGGCGTCAGGTGCCCTCCACTATCACTCTGCCATATTCCTTCTAGTCAGGGTCTCTCACTGAACCCAGAGTTTGTAGTTTTTCAGCAAGCCCCAGGAATGTTCCTATCTCTGCCCCTCTTGGTACTCGGGTTGCAGGTGTATGCGGGACTGTGCCTGGCTTTTATGTAGGTAGCTGGGATCCGAGCTCTGGTCCTCATGCTTGCCTAGCAAGTACTTCTAAACCACTGAACCATCTGTCTAGTCCTATCCCTTGTATATTTCTAATAAAATACTGTTGAGCTGGGCTCAGTGACATACACCTTTAATCCCAGCACTTGGGAGGCAGAGGCAGGCGGATCTGTGTGAGTTCAAGGCCAGCCTGGTCTACATAGCGAGCTCTAGACCAGCTGAGGCTACAGGGAGACCCTGTCTCAAAAAGACAAAACAAACAAACAAAAAAACATCACCCACCCCTCCCCTCCCCACCCTCAAGCCTTTATTAAAGCAGTTTGACCCCCCCTCAAAAAAAAATCTGATCAAATCTTTAAGCCCTTTTATAGTTCCTCGGTCATGAACCAGTTCAGACTGTGTTTCAGGTCCCTGCCTACCCTGTGTTGTTGAATGTTGTGAGTCACGTAAATTCCAGCTGGCTCCATCATATCCCAGTTTGAGTGACCTTCTCTTGCCTCTGCTTGCTCATCTGAGCATTGGAGATGATGGGAACAGAATCTATCTCACAAGGTTCTTCTAAGGGTTCAGTGAGTTATTCCATGTAGAATACTTAGAACAGGGCCTGGTACCAGTTAGTCCTCAGTGAACTGTGTGTGTGTGTGTGTGTGTGTGTGTGTACATTGTATTCATGTATATGTGCACTCAAGTGTACATTTGTGTGGAGGCAAGAAGTCAACTTCAGATGTCATTCCTCAGGACTACATACTTTCTTTTAAAAATTTCTTGCCGGGAGTGGTGTCGCACACCTTTAATTCCAGCAGAGGCTCCAGGCCTGCCAGGTCTACATAACAAGTTCCAAGCCAGCTGGGGCTACAGGGGAGACCCTGTCTCAAAAAACTGAAAAGAAAATTTTTATTTGTGTGTTTGTGTTCAGGGGTGCCATGGCGTTGGTATGTATGGAAGGGGACAACTTGTGGGAGTTGGTTTTCTCCTATTTCTACCTTGGATCAAACTCAGGTGGTCAGGCTTGGTGGCAAGTGCCTTCACCTGCTGAGTCATCTCTTCAGCTCCCATTTTGTTTTTTGAAACTTTTTTTTTTTTTTTTTTGTCTTTTTTGAGACAGGGTCTTCCTGTAGCCCCAGCTGGCCTGGAACTCAATATGTAGACCAGGCTGGGCCTTGAACTCACAGAGATCCTCATGCCTCTGCCTCCCAAGTGCTGGGATTAAAGGTGTGTGCTACCACACCCAGCTGAAACATGATTTTTTTACTGACCTGAGACTTTCCTATTAGGCTAGACTGGCTGACCATTGTTCTCTAAGAATCTTCATGTGTCCATTACTGAACCCTGGAGTTACAAGTGTATGCCACCATGTCTGGATTTTTGCTGGGCATCAAACTCAGGTCCTCATGCTTGCATGGCAAGCACTGTACTAACCACCGCCCCCCCCCAAGTCTCCACGCACCTCTCCTTTGAGAGTTGGAATTGTACTTTGGATTTGTATAACCAATGTTGGCCTGCTATGGTGTTACAGGGTTAAAGCTCAGTAAATTTCTTTTTCTGCTCGGTTGGTTGGTTGGTATGTGTATGTGTTTGGTTGGTTGGTTGATTTTGAGACAGTCTCCTGTAACCCAGGCTAGCATTGAGTTCCTGATCTTCCTGCCTCCAACTCTCAAGTGCTGAGATTACAGTATACAGGTATGTGCCTGGTTTTATGCAGTGCTGAGGATCAAACACAGGGCTTCATGCGTATTAAGCAACCACTACCAACTGAGCTACATCTTCAGCTCAAGAAAACTTTCTTTCACATCAAGATACATCTAGGTACACAAACTTAACTTGATAGGCGTTAACATATAAAACAATGTGTGAGAAATCCTGTAGGCAGGCTATTGGGGGTGGTATGCAGAGAGGGGAGGCCTAAATATGATTAAGATTTATTGTATGAAATCCACAAAAATTCAATAAAAAATATACATTAAAAAAAAAAAGGAGCTGGGTGTGGTGGTGCACACCTTTGATCCCAGCACTTGGGAGGTAGAAGCAGGCAGATCTCTGTGAGTTCAAGACCAGCCTGGTCTACATAGCATTTTATATCCAACTTCAGGCAGTATGAGCCTTGCTCCCAATTTTGGGTGGGATATGCTAGTTGCTGCTGCCCTCTGGTGGGCAGCCCATGGAACAGATGTTGAGTTGGGCAGCAGACACAGGGTGACTGAAGGAAGATGACAAGTCCTGCCTGACTTTTTGTGTTTTGTTTTTTTGAGACAAGGTCTTATTTAGCCCATGCTGGCCTAGAACTTGCTATTATAGCTTCTGCCCCTCCTGGCTTCACCTCCTGAGTGCTTGGATTGTAGGTGTGCCACCATGCCCTCCTCCTGGCTTCCTTGGCACTGTGTGTACTTGTGATACTGCCCATAAATGTGATATGTTCTTCTCTGGGCCTTTTTTTCCTTTCCATGGTGTCCTGTATGTATAAAACAATAGGATGTGGCCTGGGAGGCAGAAGCAGGCAGATCTCTGAGTTCAAGGCCAGCCTGGTCTACACAGTGAGTTCTAGCCAGGCCTACACAGAGAGACCCTGTCTCAAAAACAAAAAATAGGTTGACAAACCACTAGAGCTTGAGATTCTGTGCTTTAAAAACAATGTTTTTTCGGTAATGGAGATTGAACCCAGGGCCTTGAATGTGCTAAACAAGAGTTGTACCATTTGTGATATCCCCAGGCCTATGCTTCCATATGTGGGAGTTAAATTGTGTGCATGTGCGTGAGCATGTACACATACATGTAGAGGCCAGAGATCAATCTGGAGTGTTCTTCGGGAGCTACATCATTTGGTAGGGGGGGGGGGGCAGAGGTCAATGTTGAGTGGCTTCTTCAATTGCTTTTATGCCTTTTTTTTTTTGAGACAGGGTCTCCCTGTAGCCCCAACTGGCCTGGAACTTGCTATGTGGATCAGGCTGACCTCAAACTCACAGAGATCTGCCTGCCTTTGCCTCCCGAGTGCTAGGATTAAAGGCATGTACCACCATGCCCGGCTACACCTTATTTTGAGATAGGGTCTCTCATTTAACCTGGAGCTTACAAATTGAGCTACACTGGCTGGCCAGCAAGCCCCAGGGATCCTTCTGTCTCTGGCCTCCCCAGCACTTAGAATATAGGGCCTGACTTTTGTTGTTTTTTTGAAACAGGGTCTTCCTGTAGTGCCAGCTGTCCTGGAACTCACCAGGCTGGCCTCAAAGTCACAGAGATCCACCTACCTCTGCCTCCCAAGTGCTGGGATTAAAGGCATGTGCCACAACACCCAGCTGGGCCTGGCTTTTTACCTGGGTATCAGGGATCCAAACTCACATCCTCATGCCTGTGCAGCAGGCACTTTACAAGACCAAGTCATTGCCAGCCCCACCTTGTTTTTCTTGAGACAAGGTCTCTCTCAGGAATCCTGGCTCTACCTCCTCAGTGTGTGCTACACACCCAGCTTTTCTTTCTTTCTTTTTTTTTTTTTTTTTTTTTTTTTTTTTTTTGATATGGCCCCTCAATGTAGTCCTGTGCAAACTTGAATTTTGGACTGATCCTCCTGCTTCTGCCTCTCAAGTGCTAGAATTATAGACATAAGCCACCACTCCCAGCTTTGGACCCCATGAGTGCTGGGATCAGACAGGTCATCATGCTTGCATAGCCGGTACTTTACTGTCTGAGCTGTCTCCCCAGACTCAAGTTAAAATTGTTTTTAAAGTGAAACTCACATGATAGCTCAATTACAAGGAGTTGCTTTGTTTTTATTTTCTGTGTTACTGGAGATTGAGCCTAGGACCTCATGCTGTGCTCCACTGAGTCACAACCCCTATCCCTATCCTGAGTTTTCAATGAGTTCAAATAATGCATACACTTTAAGGGAAAATTGTGGGTTCAAATCATTTCATATATTCATCTCAATTTTTTTCCTTTATTTT